TTGAATATGCTTTACATCTTATGTTTATGTATTTTAATTTTAGATAATAGGTTTTTTAAAACATTATTTTAAAATTTAACTTTATATTTTTTAGTAATATCATGTTTAATATTTGTTTTTTATTTTTTTGGCATTTTTTTGCATTTCTTTTGTATTTATTTCGCCTTGCTTCAAAAAGGTGCCCACCTCACCTTGTGCCTCGGGCACAAATTGACCCCTGTGCCTTTTTTGCGCCTTGTGCTTTTAAAACACTGCAACGCACTATAGGGAAAGTGGTTGTGGAGGTATGGGGTGGAAAGGAATGCTTTATGGAGAAAGGTGGTATGATGTGGACAGAAAATACCCCCAGTCCCAAACTGTCAACAAAGCTACCCAAAAACAACAATTTGGGATCCTACTAAAAACAAAAAACATGCAAAACGGAATACATTCACATTTTTTTTTCTTATTTCTTTTGCCTCATCATGGTAGCTTGCAAGTATATGGTGGGATTTAAGGAGGTGAAAACTTCATATGGGGTGTGCGTGTGGAAAGGAATAATGAGCTTCCACTCAGCCTTTTTAGACTATGTTTCCTTCAAAGTTGGGTATGATACAACCATTAAGTTTTGGGAGAATGATTGGGTAGGCATTGGTAGACTATGTGAGTTGTTCCCAAGGTTATACTTAAGCAGGAAAAGTATCTATCATAAAGAATTTTGAAATTAACCAAGAAGGGTGGTGTGGTTCCTGAAGTTCAGAAGGCCTCCCATTGATTGGGAAGTGGAGGAATGTATTTGTTATCAAAGTTGTAGTCGGTGGAGATGCAAGTAGAAATAAAAGAGGCAAGGTGGTGGAAGGAAAGTAGGAGTGGTGTCTTCTCTATAAACTCATTTTATAGAGCTTTGGCAAGAAATTAAGTGGAGAGGTTGGAAATGAAAGGAGTGTGGGGGATCCCATTCCAGTTAGAGTGGAGGCTTTTGTGTGGCTTCTAGCTCTGGATAGTATATTGACTCAAGACTACATCAAAAGCAAAGGAATTCAGATGGTAGGGAGGTGCTACTTATGTTATGTGACTGAAGGGGATGTGACACATTTGTGTTTGGTTCTTCCTATTTGAAAATATTTTTTAAGTCTTTTCTATATGGACCTTTGAAGCCAAGATGTTTGAGAATAATTTTTTAGTTGGGCTACCTTGGAGCTGTATTCCTTGTGCTCTTTGCTGGGAGATTTGGAAGGAGTGAAATAGAAAGATTTTTGATGAACACCCAAATTGGAAGGATTGAAGAAAGAAAACAGGAAATCCTGGGTAGAATAGTGGATTTGGATGGGGTGGAAGTTGAGAGAAGTTTGAATTCGGAAGATAGGAAAGAGAGATGGGGATTGAAAAAGGATCTGGAAGACATTCTAAGAAAAGAGGAGGTTTCTTGGAGACAAAAATCTAGATGTCAATTTCTAAAGGAAGGGAATGGTACTACCAGTTTTTTCCATATGTTGGTAAATGGGAGGAGGAAAAACTCATTGCTGAAATTGGAATGGAATGGGCAAGTATTGACAAGAGATGATGAGGACATGGCTAATGCCTTTGTGAACCATTTCTAAACACTCTATGAGGGTCCAAGGAGTTCAAGAGATGGTTTAGAGGGACTGGAATGGAAGGATGGAAATAGAGAGCTATTGGAGTCCTTGAAAAAGAAATTTGGGATTCAAGAAGTGAAAAATGCAGTTTTCTCAATGGAGAGATCTAAAGCCCCGAGACCTGATGGTTTTATGCTGGCATTCTATCAAGATTGTTGGGAGATAATTGGGGATGACCCGATGGAGGTTTTTGATGAATTCTATGAGAGGGGCAAATTTAACTTAGGTGTAAATGCAACTTTCATTGCATTGATACCGAAGAAAGTGGATGCAATCCAGCCGAAGGACTTCAGACCCATAAGTCTAATAGGAAGCATGTACAAATTCATTTCCAAGGTTTTGGCACTAAGAATAAAAATTGTACTTCCCTCAATGATTTCTCCAAATCAAGGGGCTTTTGTTTTTGGGAGACAAATAATGGATCAAATTCTCATTTCCAATGAATGCGTAGAGTTTAGAAAAAGGAAGAAGCAAAAAGGACTGGTTTGTAAGTTGGATTTAGAAAAGGCTTATGACATGGTGGATTGTGAGTTTTTGATGGACATTCTTAACTGTAGGGGATTCAAAGCAAGATGGTGTAGATGGGTGAAGGGTTGCATTTCTTCATGTCATTTCTCAATTTTCGTAAATGGAGTAGCAAGAGATTTTTTCCTGCCAAAAGGGGCCTTAGACTAGGAGATCCTCTATCCCTCTTCCTATTTACTCTAGTAGTCGATGTGTTGAGTGAATTGATCACAAGGGCAGATGCAAACAATATGATTAGAGGCTGGAGAGTTGGAAGGGAGGAAGTGGTGGTTACACATCTACAGTTTGCAGATGATATTATTTTGTTTTGTGAAGGAAGAATATAAGAACTTATGAACCTAAAAAGAATAGTACCAGTGATTTAAAAGGCGCGCCTGAGGCGCTCAGACGAGGTGCATTTTAGGGTAGGCGCACGCTTGGTGCACCTTGGGGCCTTGCGTCTTTTGAAAATTTGCCGCTTTTTCGCTTTTTTTGAGTCTGGCTGCTGGGCCAGGGGCTTTGCCCTCGGACCCCCGTGCCATGCCCCTCGAGGGCAGCCCAAACAAGTCCATGTTAGGGTCTTAAGATGAATGAATGGACAACATTACCAAATAGGGGGTTCTTGCTGCCTCGAGGGGCGTGGTACAAAGGTGGCTCGTTGAGTTAGGAATGTAATATATCACATTAGCTACTTGCCTCGAGGGGGTTCTTGCATTTTTTTTTAAATTGTTCGCCTTGCCTCAAAAAGGCTCGCGCCTCGCCTTGCGCCTTGTGCCTCAGGCGGAAAATGGCCTTGCGCCTTTTTTGCACCTTGTGCTTTTAAAACATTGGATAGTACATAATTTTGAGAGGATCTCCAACCTTAAAATTAATTGGGGCAAGAGTTGCGTGGCTAGAGTAAATTTGAGGAGTGAAGAGGTGAATCTGCTAGCTGGACTATTGGGGTGTGAAGTGGGGGATTGGCCATTACAATACTTGGGAGTACTTTTKGGGGGAAATCCAAATACGAATAGCTTTTAGTATCCAATGGTTGAGAGGTTTACAAAAAGACTTGCGAATTGGAAGCGAAACTACATTTCCTTGGGAGGTAGGATAACCCTAATAAAGTCAACATTGGTTAAGTTACCCTTGTATTGCCTATCTACCTTTAGGTTACCGGTGAAAGCGACAAACCAGCTAGAGAAGATTATGAGGAACTTCCTTTGGGAACCAGGAGACACCAAAAAAGACCATTTAGTGAAGTGGGAGGTGGTTTCTAGAAGTAGGGATGAAGGTGATCAAGGAATAGGAAATATAAGAGTAAGAAACACAACTTTATTGGGAAAATGGCTATGGAGATTGCCGTTGGAACAGGATAAGCTTTAGTATAGGGTGATTGTTAGCATTCATGTGTTGGCAGACAATGGTTGGGATGCATGAGTCGATCCTAGGGCTTCTTGATTCTCTCCTTGGAAATCTATTCATGGTATATTGCCTTCCTTGTGTTAAATTTGATGCTTGTGTTGGAAACAAAGTGTTGTTTCGGGAAGATGTTTGGGTCGATCCTAGGGCTTCTTTATTGATAATTCTTGGGACTTGGCTCTGAGGAGAGGTCTAAGGGAGTTGGAAATGATAACTGTGGATGAATTAGTTAACCTTTTAGGGTCAACCTATTTGGATTATAGTTGTCAAGGCATCGCCTAGGCGACAAAGCGCCCTTTAAGGCTCGCCTCGCCTAATCGCCAAGCAATTTTGTACTATGTTTTGTAAAATCCTTTTTTATTCTTTATTTTTTAACATTATAAATATAAAATAGGGACTATTAAACTAAAATATTCATTTTTTGTGTTTATATACTAATTTCTTTTTATTATTTTCTTATTTGTTAGGATTTAATCAATACAAACATTGCTAAATGCTGTATTGAACCCTCAAAGACTTTAAAACCTGAACCCTCAATGACTCTAATCAACACATTGCAAACTTCTACTACTACTACTACTACTACTATGTTGCAAAGAAAAAGGCCAATTTGTGCCTGCTACCTCATGTTCTCTACTATGACGGGGTAAGCCTTTTTGACCCAAGCTTTTTTAGGCAACCGAAGAGGTGTGGAAGAATAATGTGGAGGGCGGAGGGCCACAAGAGCAACTATCCTATGGTCAGTCTGGGAAGAAAGAAACAGTAGGAGGAATTTAAATTCAATGGTTGAAAACTTGGATTTATTTAAAGACTTGTCAGCTGAAGACATTTACAAGAATTGGAGAGTGGTGGCAACTACAACCTCCATAAAACCTATTGTGCAGGAGTTATGGTCCCGACCAACACAACAAAGAATGAAATTGAACTTCGATGAGAGCTTTAGATGTAACCCGGGCCCTTCAGGTATAGGGGGAGTATCCAGAGATGAAAATGGCAGAATTGTGGCTATGTTTTCAGGGCCAATAGGAATGGGGGGCTCATTGAGAGCAGAGGTGCTGGCCGTGCTTCAAGGTGTAAGATATGCTGAACAATTGGGGTTACACCAAGTTGAGATGGAGGGAGACTCTAAACTGTTAATTGATTGGTTGCAATTAGGTAGGTTGGGAGCTTGGATTTATAGACAACCCATAAGGGAAATCCTCAATATAACAAGGGAGATTGGTTCTTGCTTCAAATGGACAAGAAGATCAGCAAATGGCTTAGCTGATACGTTGGCTAAACAAGGGACTTGAGGGAGGGTATGTTTTGGTCATTTTTGTAATAAAAGATTACTGGGGACTCAATACCAGTTAAGGGGTTGAGCTTGAAGGGGTCTCAAAGGAATCTCTAGGTAATGTTTGGTCATTATTAGAATTAGATTCCTGATCTCCATATATAAATGATTTTACTGAGCAACAGTACTACCTTTTATTAGGTGGTCTTTGGGATGCAAAACCTTGTTTGATACTTCCATTGTCATTTGATGATAATGACAATGATCATTTCATCATCATATTCCATTAAACCAAAGTGGAATTAGCCATGCGAATCTTGTTTATCCATCTGCTATATTAAGGGGTTATGTTATTTTAATGTAGAAGATAAGAGGAATGTTACCTATAGAATTAGAGCTAGGTTAATTCGGTGGATGAAGTGGCGATCTACCTTATGACTGCTGCATAGTTGTTCCTCATCATTAAAGTTGAAGTTTTAGAGGGTAGCTTAAGTAGCTGAATATTGGGCATTCCAAACTATTGAAGTGTTTAGTATGGTTTAATATGTTCAGATCAATGTTTTAAAACGCGGGAGGCGTTCCACTACCTAGAGGTGTGAGGCGTAGTTCAGAACATAAGAGGTGTAAGCCTCTCGAACGCAAGGAGGCTTATGCCTCCTTAAGAGGAGGGGGGATGAATCGGAAGAAGAGGAAGAAAAATCCCATTTTTCTTTATTTTTAATAAAAATCTTTTATATTAAGAAAAATGAAGATGCATAGCACTAGTTGAAAGGGGGGTCTTGTTGACCCGGAGGCATATGTCTCAGAGGTGTCAAGGGGTCTGGGGGCTTAGCCCCCAGGGTCTTGGCTTGGGGCTAAGACCCCGGACCCCTTTCTTTTTTCCTTTTTTCTTTTTTCTTTCTTTTTTCTTTTTTTTTTCTGCCTTTTTAGTTGAGGTGTGCATGAGGTGTACACCTCTAGCACATCTCATGAAAAAAATGTATGAGGCCTATGCCACTTGCACCTGAGGCATACGCCTCAGAGGTGTCAGTGCCTCTGGCATACATCTCACTGTTTCAGGGCGTTTTGGGGGTGCCTTGCCTGGAGGTGCACCTCCAGGTGTATGCGTCCCACGCCTTTTAAAACATTGGTTCAGATGGATAGGTGGTAAAGCCAACGCGGATGCTATTCAGAATAACTGGTTTACTGGGAAACAGCCCATGCAACTTATGCATGAAAGAAAGAACAGATTTACTGGTATCAGACATGGGTAGAAAATGTCATTGCAAACAAGCTCAAAGAAAAAAATCAGATTATATATGGAGTTTTGGGTTTACTTGCTTGAACCTTTTAGTAGGTTTGAAATCAAATGCATATCTTAATGTTTATTTTATTACCAAGGTGGGGGAGGGGTTCTTTTTTTGAAAACTGTTTTTTGTGAATGATGACTACCTGGCTATTTATATTCATATTAGATGTCTTATAACAAGTATAATTTGTCCTTCTCTCCCTCCCTCTTCTTACTTTTCCCACTCAACTGCAGGCCTTCTATGGGTGACTCAGTGGAGTTGGGTAGCTTGGTTTCTGGTGTTGTGGAGAGGTTGACTCCTACCGCAGTTATTGTGCATGTAAGTGGAAAAGGTTACCTGAAGGGAACTGTACTCACTGAACATTTGGCAGATCATCAAGGTATGTTTTATTTTCCTTTTTATGAAAGATGGATCTTTCTTGTGATTTGGCTTGGCTTTTCTATACTAGAAATTGGGATACAATGCAGGGCAAGCTACTTTAATGAAGTCAATTCTCAAGCCTGGCTACGAATTTGATGAATTGTTGGTTCTAGGTATAGTAAGATTCCTGTTTTGTTAACATGGTCAAGACTTATTGCTTTTGTACTTATTTTATTTATTTTACTAATCTTGTTAAGTCACTAATGTCTGCTGATCACATATTTTTGGATGCTCATCAGATTCTATTATGGATTCCTATGGGTTTATCATTCCTCTAGGTTCATTTTTTTTGACATTATTTTGTCATCCGTAATGATAGATCCAATCCCATATTGAGTCTGTGAAAAGAGTCGGTGTGATTGGAATTTGAAGGTTAAAGAATGTTTTAATCATTATGACTGTAGGAACTTACTCTTGTTACTCGTTCACTCACTCACTCACTCGCTCACTCTCTCTCTCCACCTTCCTTTTTACTACCAAATGGTCTAGCCCTCTACATTTCATCCTTCATTTTTAATTCTCCATCTCTATTTCTTTCTAAATCTTCAATTACCAGATTCCACTGCATAGAAATTAGTTTTGCCATTAATTATACTTCTAAGATATCTTGCACAAATTACCAGATTCCACCGCATAGAAATTACCAAATCTTCATTTTTTTTTCTTTTGTAAAATTTTTTATATCATCCATAAAAATGGTTATCTAGTAACAGTAGGCAATGTATTGGGAGATCTCACATGGTTGAGTAGAAATATTGCTAACTATGGTGCTAACTAATAGTGATGCTTATTAATTTTAACATTGTTCTTGCATTGTTTGCAGATATTGATGGTAGCAATCTGGTATTATCAGCAAAATATTCTCTTATAAACTCTGCTAAGCAGCTCCCAGTGGATCTCATGCAGGTTCATCCTCATTTAATAGTCCATGTAAGAGCATTTTATTACCACTTCTACATCAATATCCCAAACATTTCTTGTCATGAGTTATGTTTTCGTTTCATAGGTATAATCTGCCTTTGTTGGTTATTATTTTTCTTTAATTATACTTCACCATATGTAAAAGCATATATGGATTTATGTACCAGGGTTATATCTGTAATATAATTGAAGCTGGTTGCTTTGTTCGCTTTCTTGGGCGCCTCACTGGTTTCTGTCCTAAAAATAAAGTATGCCTCTAACATCCAATATTTCCGAAATTGGTATCTCTTGTGTTTTGTTTGAATAAGTTACTGCTTTTTTGTTGACAAATAAATTAAATGAATTTGTTTTGATTTGAAGGCAACTGATGATGGAAGAGCTAACCTTTTCGAAACCTTTTATGTTGGGCAATCTGTTCGCAGTAATATACTCAATGTCAGTGCACAAGCTAGGATGGACATTTCTTTAGATGTTTTGGAGCATTAGCTACTTAGTTTTCATTTCTTGTTTATTATTATTTCCAGGTTGACATTGAATTAGGCAGAATTACACTGTCACTGAAGCAGTCATCTTGCTTTTCAATGGATGCATCGTTTATGCAAGAATATTTTACTCTTGAAGAGAAGGTATGCAAAACATGCTTATGGCAGTTCTTTTTCTTCCCCCTACCCATTTTATAATTCTTATATTGACTTAATGTTGTTTGTTTTCCTAACCTCTAGCTTGCATAATTTGTTTTTCTTTGTTCTCCTGTTAGAAAAGCAGTTCTATTTCAGTTCATTTCTTTTTGATTCTCCTGATTGTTTGTTCTTCTCTTGGACATTTTCTCAGCTACTCTTTTCTGCTTACTAAAATATTATCGTTTTTGCTCATTTCTGATTTGCCTTACAAGTACTTAGGATTTGTGTTTGCTTTCTTATGGAGTTATGCTTCTTTGGTGTTATGTGTTATGCTTCTTTCTTATGTGTTATGCTTCTTTGGTTGCAGATTGCCAAGCTACAAATGCCAGAATCAGAAAATTTTGATTCCAATTGGGTGAAAAGTTTCAATACCGGGACTATTGTGGAAGGAGAGATTCATGAAACAAAAGAATTTGGTGTTGTTCTTAGTTTTAAGGAGCATACTGATGTTTTTGGTTTCATTGCACATTATCAATGTAAGTCGTTTTCATGGAGTTTGATCACTTGGGTTATCAATTATAAGTCTTGAAAGAGTATTGTGCCATCTTTGCAGTATGTGGGACAAATCTGGAAATAGGCTCTACTGTTCGAGCTGTGGTCCTCGACATTTCTGTGGCTGAACACCTGGTTGACTTATCACTTAAGCCAGAATTTATTTGTGGGATTGAAGAAGAAGGCTCTAAGAGCAGGACCTCTAAGAAGGTTATCTTAACTCATTTGTTGGAAAAATGATATCACTTTTCTATTCCGACTTAAGCAAGGACGAATACCCAGAGAAGGGAAACGGGAGGGGAATAGTAGAACAGAGAACACTGCTCACCTCCAAAGTGAATCTTTATTTTTCTTAGACTTCATTCTTGTTATATATAATAACTGTGGGTGTATCATGGTTGAGTAAAAACCAAATTCATCCCTGCCTGACTCAAATCATCTTGAGTCCTAGGTTTGGTTTGGCATGAGCCAGAAGAACACTAGCCCAATCTGTGATTATTCTCTGCATGGTTGGAGGTCTTAGTTAGCCCTTCTCAACCTGAGCTTTATGGTACTTTGTTTCAGTAGTTACAATGTCAAATTGCCTTTACATGTTTTTGCCTTTCTTAAGACATAGTAGAACCTGCCTGTCCAAGAAAGGGAAAGTCTTGTGGGAAGTAATTCTGTAGGTATAATATTAAGAGGCTCATGGGGCAGAATCTACTCATGGGCTGCAGTTCACAGACAGCTAAAAACCTTTCGATTCTTTTTTTTTTTTTTTTAAATTTTAGGAATCTTTTTGTATCTTGATCTGCAGTGTAATTAGCTTCTCAGTGTTTTCCCTTGTACAAATTCTTTTTGAACAGTGTATTGTATTTTTTTGATCTGTTTCTTTTAATACATTACTTTTTTTTCTCAGAAAAGAAACCTAAGCTCACTCAAACCAAATTGTGCATGGGTTGACGTATTAGAATTGTGGTCTTAAACAGGGTTAGTTTGTATGAACTTATGTTATCTTTCCTCTTTTCTGATTTGTTCTTGTCCAGAAGCGCAAAAGAGTTGCATCTGCTGACCTGGAGGTCCATCAGACTGTGAATGCAAATATAGAGATTGTTAAAGAGAATTATTTGGCAAGTATTTGACCATTTTCACTGCAAATTGTAATTTTCCTTTCATCTATTGTTTCTAGAGGTAAAGCAGTGTAGCCATTCAGCAATCTTACTTTTAAGTGCAATTGTATTCATGCAGGTCCTCTCAATCCCGGAGTATAGTTATGCTATTGGCTATGCATCAACTATTGATTATAATACACAAAAGCTTCCCCAGAGAAGCTTCGTGAATGGACAAAGGTCTGGAAATTTCTTGTTTAATAAATTTACCATCCATTCTGGGTTTCCTTGTATCCTCATAAGGCAACTTATGAAGGATACATATCAGATTCTTTCATATGTTTATTTTCTTATGATACTATGACTGCAATCTATTGCCTCAATGCCTTGGAGTATGTCAGTGGTGCTTCTTTTTGGAGCCTGGGCTTTTTTGGGTTTGCTATATCGTGATAAATTGGTAGGGGCCATTAGTGGTTTAGTGGTAAAATCTTAGGATGGTAAGTGTGAGAATGTGGGTTCAAGTCTGAGAGCGACTACTTTGTGCAAAAAATGCCAAACGTTGGGACCATATCCAGTCTATCCATCCCAAGAAGATAAAAATTTGGTGGAACCTACATTGTGCAAAGGCTTTTTTATCTAATAAGAAATTGCTATGGGAGGTATTAGAGGGACTTTATCTTAACTATTTTGTTGCCATCTCATTATTTATTAAATCAGTGATGGTTTCTCAGTGGGCTATTATATTGGAGGTGGAAGTGTGGCAATGGCTTGAGAATGGTTTTGGTGCATGCCTTAAAACTGGTTGTGGTGTTGAACCATTTTGTAGGATGTTTTGGTTCAACCTGGTTTGACTTTAGTCTGTTTTGGTCTAGTTGTTGACATCATCACCATGTGTTTATGTATGCTTTTATCACACTGTATTATGTCCATAATTTCTCTTCCTATAAACCTTTTACTCTATACTTTTAGTCTCCTTTTCCCTCACATTTCTGCATCTATCAAACCCACCATGGTCAGTTAAGCTAGTTGTATACCTTTATGTCAAATTGTAATCTTTTCAACTATAAGGATCCTGCCCATAGACCATCAATTCTCAATCACCACCATGTTAAATGGAAGAAATCTGTATGGACTCTAATGCCGACTCAATGGGGCCTTGTCCCAATTATGTGGGGCCTGCCATATGAATCCCGTTCCACCTTTCTTATGATTAGTATGCACCCTATTACATGTGTCTGTTTTATATTTGGAGATGTTAATGAAATAATGGATCATGTGGGGTCCAGCTATTATGAGGGATGCTACATGAATCCTTTTCCACCATTCTGTTCTTTTCAGATTTTTTATATGCTCTATTGTACGAGTATTTGTAGAAAAATATTGTTGAAGAAATAAGGGGTCATGTGAAATAGGGCTGCAAACAATATCTGTTTGTTTGAATTTTGAGTTTGAATTTTGATCTGATTAAGTTGATCTGTTTATAATAGTTCGGTGAAATACGGATCCACCCCAATCTGATCTGATAAGATTCATCTGATATTGTCATGTTTGCTTATGAAATGTATACGTTTTAGTGAAGTTAGTTTGAATATTCTATATTTACTAAAGTTATAGATTTCAAGTTTCTATTACTCTATTTGAATGTTGAAGGGGACTCAAAACTGGTTGTTGTTGGTTGCAAAGGGAGTTTAGTGGTCTTTGGAAGTTTGCTAATGAGAAAAGGGAGTTTGAATGGGTAACTCGGGGAATAGAGATTCAGCTTCAATGGGTGAAGAGAACTGCTAACTCCTTTGCAGAAGCTCTGGCTAAACAAGGGATGGAACGTGAACAATGGCTTTGGGCTGTGTTGTAATTGTTTTTCTGTTTTTCGGGAGGTTTAAGAGATTTTATCTCTCCCCATTGCTTCACTTGTATTCTCTATTTTGTCTATCTAGTAAAAAGTTTCTGTTAATGATAAAAAAATAGAGTTCAAGTCTTGTACAAATTTTGTTTATTTGATTTTGTTCATGATTTACAATTTCAAAGTCATTTCTAATTCATTTTATTAATGCATTATCTTTTGAAATTCCTCTTTCCTTTTTTCTTAAATTCTTGTAGACTAATCCTGACTTTTTGATACCAGCAGAAACCCCCTTTCAGAATGTTTTGTATATTCAAAACCTTCTGTCAAGTCACTTTTAGTGATCATTTCAGAAGTGATCCATGTGGGCCATTATTTTTTTCATGACAAAAGTAACTATTACTTACCTATAAACCCTTTTAACTGGTTTTCAAAAGATAAAAATGCTCCTGAATTGTGTGGTTGGTGTCACTCAAAACATCAGTGTTTCCCCTGAATACACGTTGACCTCATGGGATGCAAGTACAAGGGATTGGTTATATAACCTAAACCAAGGATCAAAATATCAATATGATATGCCTATATTGTATCTTATGTGTATCAGTGACCATGATGACACATGCATAGACCGATACTCACAGGGTTTTGAAGTTTAAAAGTTTGGGATGGTAGGTTACATCTCTCTAATGCCTGATTAAATCATACAAATGAAAAAAGGTAGAGTATTGTTTGTATCGATACACAAGTACCCACTTGTTGTTATTGGGCATATCAATATTTTGTTTCTTGACCCAAACTCTTTCAGTTTTGCATATGGTGATTGAATTTCAAAGGTAGCTGATATAGGTCTTGCTTATGCATTTTATTTTATTTTTACTTTTTAGTGTAGACAGAAGGGAAGGCATTACACAAGTCCATAGTCAATGCAGTATGAGAAAATTTCAGATGAAATGTGCTAATTTGATTTGAATTACCCTTATTTCTCATCTAATAAGCTGATTGAACATCCAATTTTTTTTTTTTTGGAGAATTTTCCACATATCATGATCTGAAAGATTGCTATCTAGGGAATATTGCTTAAGATATCACGTCAATATCCATTCCATTATTTGGTCCAATTGTCTAAATGATCATGCCCATTAGATAAGCGGGGTTGATGGCTAATTATGTCTAATCAAGGGACCATTAATTCTTGTCTGAATGTTTGACTATTACCTTCTTCCCTTATTAGACGTAATTAGACACCAGCTGCACTCATTTAACAGTAATGATTGTAGTGTTCTTGCTGATTAGACAAAAAAGATTGTAATGTTCTCTGCGTCATCCACATTATTTAGAAACTCCATCTGTCCCAAATCAATCTCCGGCATATCATGAAACAAGCCTTGTGGTGTTATCAAAACCACCGAAGTTGTCTTCCTAGGCATCTTTCCAGTGGTCTTCTGCCACCAATTTGTAGTCTCATCCATGAATATCACCATAGTCCTCTCTGAGAGTTTCTCTTGAACCTGAGTCCATGGGGAAGGGAAAGGTTGCTGTTGATTATTTAGAGATTGTCCTGAAACATCTATGGTTGCTTTCATTTATTTATCATGTGTTTGGTTTGGTAGGCTCTCACTAAAACCTTCTAATTCAAGATGAGATTTGGGTTTGCCATTCTCATACAACATATGTTTTGGGTTGAGCAAATACACCCATTTTTGGTGTCTTGGTCTAAAGGTAGAGATGCCGAGGACCCTCATGGTAGTCTTTCAAAAACCATTCTTCTAATGACAAATGTTTGATTGGGTGGGGGGTTTTGGAGGTATTGAAAAGTAATGGTAATTTTAATAAAATTTAAGAAAAGTGAAAGGATAATTTCAGGTAACAACCTTATCTTTTTTTTTTTGTTTCATTTGTTCTCGATATCATCATCATTATATAAGCCTTGTGCCAACTATATGGGTTCTGCTATATGAATCATATTTTGCGATTCCATTTTGTTCAGTGCCTTGTATTAAAACTGTATTGGATCCACAATTATATGGTATCATCATCGTCATCATCATCTTCTTGTTACTTCCTCCTAGGTCCTTTTTAGTATTACCCTAGCTCTTCTAGCCCCTTCAACTTGTAACTGTTCACTTTGTCATTTGTTCTTGTTGTACTTTATTCAAATCCAATTTGAGTTTTGATCTGAATCTGTACATGATTTGATTTGAATATGAATGTTAACAGATCAAATTTGAATCTCGGTATGTTGGATTTGAATACAATGCATTTGCTGCCCTAGTTAAATGTATTTATTTGGGTGATAATGGCATATGAGTCAAACTCTGTGGGGTAATAACCATGTCTAATGGCTCCTAACACTTCATTTGTTTTGATGTTGTGGATCCAATACAATTTTAATGTACTATCTTACCTTTTCTTAAAAAAAGTATATTGAGAATACTATCTTTGACTAACTAGTTTCCATGTTCCTGAATCTATAACTGAAATGTCTAAGTGGTGCATGGATTGTGTATGAGCTTAACATTTTCATTTATTTGTAAAAGTTTATGTGTGCATAACTGCATATGTATGGTACTGTGGTATTCTATTCCTTGCATTTTTTCCCCAAACCAATGATTGTTATTTTCTGCAGTGTTGTTGCAACTGTTGCGGCTCTTGCGAGCCCCTTGACATCTGGAAGACTGCTTCTACTTCTCAAGTCTCTAAGTGAAGCTTCAGAGACCTCTAGTTCAAAAAGAGCCAAAAAGAAATCTAGCTATAAAGTGGGATCTCTTGTTGAGGCTGAGGTAGATATCTTTTCTTTGCATCAGTCTTGGAAAGTTAAAAAACATTATATTGGACCTGAATAACTGTTTACACTTGTGTTCCATGATCTCTCCAGATTACTGACATAAAACCTCTTGAACTGCGGTTGAAATTTGGCATTGGTTTTCGTGGGAGGGTGCATATAACTGAGGTGAATATTTTTGTGGGTTGTTTGTTTCACCATAATCTCTAAATACTGCATGTGCTTTTTTTGTTGAGTTTCTTTTATTGTTCTCTTTAATTGTTTATTATTTACATGTTTTAGCTTCTTATGTTGCAGGTAAATGATCACCATTTTGTTGAGGATCCCTTCAGTAAATTTAAAGTTGGGCAACAGCTGACAGCAAGGATTGTTGCAAAATTTAATCAATCAGAAAAGAACAGAAAAGCTTGCCAGTGGGAACTCTCTCTCCGCCCTACATTACTTTCAGGTCAGAAATAATACTTATGTTTTGAGATTCTACTTTTCTGATATTTCTTTGTTCATTGACAGGCCGATAAACTCTGTTGTATGTTCTATACGTATATTTTACCAAGGGATTCTAATATTCACAATATCATGAGCTCCATTAGAAATTTGTTATGCTTTCATTAGATTTTGGACAGTATGTTTGAGTGTAAATGACACCCTAGTGAACAAATGACATAAATCAAGAATACGTTCTAAACTTAAGATATTGACATAATGTTAAATAAGTCCATGGAGGCTACAACTATTTAATAAAAGAATGATATCGAACATTTAGTTTACAATACTTGTTTTGCAAACAGATTTTGATCTTTCTCCAGCAACCAGACCAGGTTTAGTCAATATAAGCCCCATTGAGGTCTTACTTATATGCTGAACCTGTCAAAGGCGATAGAGACAGAAGGTGAAGAAAGAAGCTTTGTTCGTGCAAACAGGTGGAGAGAGAAGATCAGAATACAGGCAAAGACATTCGTGCTGGAGGAAACTCTAACCAGAAGAGAAGTTGTGTTGAAGCTTATTGAGCTCTCTAAAGGCAACAATCCTGTTGCGGGGCAAAGTTATCTTGTGGTTCAAAGGTTTTTTGGAGGGAGCTATCACTCACAGAGGAGGGTGAGTTGTCGAGTCTCTTACAAAGAAGGTGATACCACTTACTGGGTGGAAGTATTAGAAAACAAAAATGGAGCCTATGTATCACTGGCTGAATTCTTCAGCTATGGGAAGAAAAGGCTGGTTTGCATCCCGGAAGGCAAGCTACGTAGGGTATGGAAACTAGTGACAGAAGCTCTACAACATCTTTTAGTTTTAACAGAGGACCCGATCAAAATGAATGCTAGTTTAGGGGGAAGAGAGTAAGTCTTAGGGAAGCATTCAGAAGAGAAGTCATAAGAGGAACAAGTCTCAGGCTCCAAGACAGGGGCACAAGCTACTGGTAATGACCTTAAAGAGTCGTTTTGGCTCTTATCTGCAGAACCTAAGGTGTCCCTTGAAGGTGTTAAAGGTGATTGGGAATAGAGGTATGTAATCACAGTAAACAAAAAGATACCAAACTGGAATAAAATTTTGGAGGACGTTTCTGTGATGCTAAATTTATCGGTACCAGCTATGTTGGATATGAAGTAAGGTTATGGAGACCTTAATAGTTGATACTAGTGAGGGTGTAGCCGTGATAAATCGGTGGTGCCCCCTTGTAACAAGTGTTCTCTTCGCAGCGCCAACCACCGTGCCTTCAGCCGCCACTCCAGCGTCCAAGTGCGTGTCATGGGTGGGCTATGCTTGTACTTTTGTATGGGGGATTGCCAATGGCATTATTGTAATACTGTAGTATGCTTTTTCACCTTTTTGATGTTTCTTATTGTCACTCCCCCAAAAGCTTAACGTACTCTTTGAGGGGAGGTAGGTAGTCGAGTGAGCTCATAAGCGTGTAAAGGTTAAGCACGAGATCCCCTCGACACTGTATTGTGTGCTTGTGCTTTCCGCTGATTAATGCAATACAAGTAGCCTTTTGCTAATTTGTGTGCCTTCTTGTTGCCTTTGTGTGTGTGTTTGCTTTGTTTCGTAGGCTTACTCGCCCATTTCGAGTGCCGCACGGGGCCCCAACGATTACCCCCGTGACACCCTGTCAAATGAGTTGGTGTTTTCTGATGGAGCCCTTGCTATTAAACAGTGTGGCTTGCCGTTCCATCTCTGGACGGAAACTACCTTTCAAAGGGTTGTAGCGATGATGGGAGGCTTATTAGAGACTTCCAAGTTCCAACCCTAAAGATTTGTCGGCAGCGGAAATTCGAGTAATTGGAGTACGACGGGAAGCGGTCCAAGGGTGATGCATCTACTCTCAGAGGGGTGTTGGTACAAGGTTTGGGTTGTTTTGGGAGACGAAGCAGTGCTCTGGGAAGGAAGAAGCAAGGAGGAAGACAAAGCTGGCGTGGAAGGGCGGGTGACGTGTGGTGTTAAAAAGATTTTTGTTAGGTGCCAGCTGGAGAAATCTGTCCAAAACCGGAAGACTTTTAAGATTTCAAAAAAGGAAACCCAACCCTTCCTCAAAGGGAAAGGCAGTCAGTAGGTTTCCTTCTCTCAGCCGCAGGGGATTAACTCTGCTTTAGATCCAACGGCTAGGAAGTTTTCGTATTCAGAGGCTCTATTAAAGAAAGGTGCCGTGTCTTGTAAGAGAACTGGATAGGCGGCTTGTTTAAATCCTTTGATGGTTGAAAGAAGGGAAAATAAGTGGGTTAGGTTGACCCGACCAGGTATTTCAAGAGGTCTGGACCCAAATTCTTTTAGTAAGGCACGTGACTCTTTTAAGTAGTCACTTTTGGGTTGTTAGGTGATGACAAGAAGGGTGTATCATTGTCCCCCTCAATGGGAAGCTAGGACTCCCATCGATCTTCAACAGCGGCAATGAAGGCTTTTGACAAACATGCTTCCTCTTCCATCAACCTACTGCAAAGTAAACAAGATGCTGTCCAAAGTTTGCCTCCTAAGGCCCGTTCAACCCCTGCTTGAAACGGGTTTGGGCTTGCGAAATGAAGGCTTTTGACAAACATGCTTCCTCTTCCATCAACCTACTGCAAAGTAAATTATGCCAACAAGATGCTGTCCAAAGTCTGCCTCCTAAGGCTTCCGTTCAACCCCTGCTTGAAATGGGTGTGGCTTGCGAAATTAGTGTACAAGGAGTTCCCTACCTCCTGAGTTTCCTCTTTTTGTTATTCATCCTATGACTTCGCCTAAAACCACCACTAATCTTTTCGATTGTGCGCCTTCTTTGGTGTGTGTGCTGAACGAACCCTATGTCATAAGCCTACGGATGTAGAAAATGCTTTTTACCACAAAGCCTGGATTTTCCTTGGGAGTAGGGAAGATGGGGAATAAAGGTATGGAAGAGAGGATCCATGGTCTGGAGCCACCTAAATCGACAATTCTGGTGTTTGATTTTGAAAGGGAGTTGGATGATTCAAGCAGTCAAATCAGAACTGGTCTCTCACTAGCAATTGGGGGGGGGGTGGAAGAGATTTAGAAGAAACCTTTACTAGAAAAACCTTTATGGCTGAAGACATGTACAAGAATGGATAAGGGCAAAGGGAAAAGGATAACTGTTCTTCAGGCTTGTGTATGTTTAGTGTTTATGGCTCAGTCCTAGGGGGAGGTAACACCTCGTGCCTCCTCCTAGGCTGAATGTACTGCTTTTTTTGAATTAATAAAACCACTCTCATTTATCAAAAAAAAAGTAAGAAAGAGGAGTGAGGTGGAAAAGCTGATTAGTAAAATAGATTATGATAAGGCAAGCAAAAGGAGGGGTAGAACAATGGACAATGTTTAGATAAAGGTAGGAGAAGGCAGGGCCTGAAGTGTCAGTGTTGGAATGAAGATTTTAAGTTGGAACTTAAGAGGTCTAGGGAGTGTGGAGAAAAGAAGATTGATAAGAGAAACTCTTAGAAATGAGAAGCCAGATGTGGTGTTGCTACAAGAAACAAAACTTTAAGCGGTGGACAAGAGATGGATCAGAAGTATTTGGGGCACAAGGGACCTGAGCTAGGCTTGCACACCGTCTTTGGGAGCCTCAGGAGGGACTCTTACTATGTGGAAGAATGAGGTGCTACAGGGTCTAAAGGAGTTAATAGCGCAGTTTTCAGTGTCGATCAAAGTTCGAAGTCTAATAGATGGAAAGGAGTGGGTGTTGACAAATGTATATGGCCCAAATTCATATAAAGAAACACCGCGTTTTTGGAAGAATGAAGTGCTACAGGGTCTAGAGGAGTTAATAGCGCAGTTTTCAGTGTCAGTCAAAGTGAGAAGTCTGATAGATGGAAAGGAGTGGGTGTTGACAAATGTATATGGCCCAAATTCATATAAAGAAACACCTCTTTTTTGGAAGGAGGTGAGTGTAGTAAGGGGTTTGTGGGAGGGACCTTAGTGCTTGGTTGGTGAGTTTAATGTAATACGGTTTTCGACAGAGACAAGCAATCCAAATCACAAAGAACTATCGTAAGTATGAGGGAGTTTAATGAGATTGTGGACGCTTTTGAATTGAAGGAAATTCCTTTGCTACAAGCGGACTATTCTTGGTCAAACTTCCAAGCTATCCCAGTCTGCTCCAAGCTGGATAGGTTTCTATTCTCAGTAGATTGGGAAGTTATGTGGGAAAGCTTGACCACACGAGCCATGCCTAGAGTAACTTCGTATCGCTGCCCTATTAGCTTAGCTCAAGAAACTTTGTTTGGTGGGCCCTCTCCGTTCAGGTTCAAAAACATGTGGCTAGAAGATCCCACGTTTGTGATGAAAATCAAGTCTTGGGGGCCGGAGTTGGATTCTAGAGGCTTAAAGAAAGGGGTTGGATTGTTGTGAATGCTAAAGAGTCTAAAAGAGGAAATAAAAGTTTGGAATAAGGAGCTTTTTGGTAAAGTGGAGGAAGTTAAAGAAAGAATTATCTTAAGGATTGAGGAGCTGGACAAGAAAGAAGGTTAGAGAAGCCTCAATGAGGGAGATAGAGAGGAGAGGTGGAGGTTAAAGTGTGAGTTGGAAGAGGTTTTAGTAAAGGAGGAGATATCCCAAAGACAAAAATCAAGGTGTAAATGGCTTTTGGAAGGGGATGGTAATACAACTTTCTTTCACTCTTTAGCTAGTGGTAGAAGGAAAAACCTGATTTCTAGACTAGAGGTGGATGGTCACAAGATAACTAGGGAGCAGGAAATTGTGAAGATCTTTGTGGATCATTTCAAAGGCATTTTTTCGAGCCTAGGAGAGAGGAGCTCTATCTTCCCAGACCTTTAGTGGGATAGAGTGCCAGATCCTTTGTCTACAACCTTGGAGAATATCTTCACCCTAGAAGAAATTAGAGAGGCTGTTTTTTCGATGGATAGTGCGAAAGCCCTAGGTCCAGATGGATTTTCTATGGCTTTCCATTAGGATTGTTGGCACCTTATCAAAGAAGATCTATTGGAAGTTGTGCCACCCCCATCTAGCTATGCATTCAACAGTAATCCACCTTGTTTTGGAAGAGCATTGTTTGTCTTCTACCTTTCGACACGGCAAACAACATTGTTTCTCTCACTCTCTCTTCTTTCCCATTAGTTTTCTCATTCCCTTCCTCCCCTATCTCTTCCATTTTTTTCCTTTCCTAGTCATCATCGGCCCATTGTCCATCGTCGCCTTGGGTGAAAAACCAAGGAGTTGCAGTGGTGAACTCTTTTGTTATTCTCACTCGAGTTTGCTACATTTTCAGCATAAAACATACCAAACGTCGACCCTTTTTTAGTCTCCTATCATTTTGACCTCCCCCAACCATTCACTAAACTCTCTACCCTTGTTACTGTCGTAAGTTGATTGAAATCAGTAAGAGATCAAGGAAATCAAACAAAAGAAATCATTAAAATAAATTAAATAGACATCATATATATTTCCATATAAGGAGAGAGAATTAATATATATTATGAAAATAAATAAATGACAACTGTAACTCTCTACTTGTTATTTGCATTTACATTCTGAGAAATGACGAGAGAGGTCCTATTGCAACGTTTTGGTAAAGGCCTAGGCCAACCTCGGCCACCGACCCAACCATCCAACTCTTCCTGATATAGGCCCCTGCTCTGTAGCACTTGTATTGCCCATAATACGGTATTGTCCACACACCAAACAATAACATTTGTTAGGACTATAATATTTAAATCTTATTGATCAATCCAATCAAAATCTGGGTTGATACGATCGGATTGTGGGATCAGATATATATATATATATACCTTTGCTTGGTTGGGTCGCCCCAGTCATCCCATCTGTAAGGCAGTATCACACTTGACATGTACGTTAGAGCAAACACCACCCTGGAGTAAGCACCCCATGGCCTACCTAAGAAGAAAGTTTCAACCTCAGTGATCTTGCCACCCAAGAAAGTGAAACCAATGTTTTCGGCTGGTGTTCTCTGTGTTGTTCTATGATAATTAAGCAATATATATATATATATATATATATATAGGGTTACAAGTGCAATATATTGCAGCAGATCGAGAAGGTACTTCAAAGTGTGAGGCAGCGTTTCCACATATGAAGCAGTTTGGCTGTTGATATAACAGTTGCTGTAATAGTGTCTCCCTGTGTCATCGAGAAGGTCACCACTGAGGATTCATTGTTATTGTCGGAAGATGATGACCAATGACCATAAAATGGAAGAAAATTAAGATGGAAAGGAACAGGGTATTGTGGGTATAATTTAAATCAAACACGTCAAGTCATGTGTAAAAGGTTTGTGACGGAGGCTTAATGGGAAGGGAGCTGTGTGACAATTGTCAGAAACAGTAGTGGTACTTTAAGACAATATTGAAATGGTAGGGGTATAGTTAGTGAATGTCCTAAACCTTAGGGGTAGTTTAAGAAATTTTTCCTTCTGATTAATGGAGTGGCTAGAGACTTTTTTCCTGCTAAAAGAGGCTTGAGACAAGGGGGGACCCTTTATCTCCATTCCTGTTCACCATAGTTGCTGAATTCCTGAGTAGGATTGATTGTAGAGGCTGATCAGGTAAATCTATTTAGAGGTAGGAGGGTAAGAAGGCTTGAGGTGACAGTCATTCACTTGCAATTTGCAGAGGTCATCATTACATGAGAGAAAAAGTGTGGAGAGATTAACAGTAGTTCTCCCAGTTGACTGCCCACTTGTTTGCATGTTTTAGGATACAAATGATAGGATTCTTCTACCCTTAATGAAATTTGGACATAATTTAAACTACTTTTATTACATAACAATGAGTGAGGAGACCAGGCCACCCCTGGTCTCATTCTTGGACATGGATATGGATGTGTGGCTTGGGTATGTGCTTGCTTTTGGTTATGGGCTATGACATTGTAATGGGACTAAATATGGAATTGAGCTTGGATCAGATCTTTGGCTTTGTCTGTATTGTGTACCATTCTAGAAACTCAAATAAGTTAGTGGCTCTTCTATGGACTATTTTATGAGTCTAGTTAAGCTGTTGGTTTTCTCCTCCATCATGGAAAGCCTTTGAAAAAGTCTATAAATACCATTAATGAGTTTTGTGTTTCTTCTTTCTAGCATTGAAGAACCTGCAAATCCTTATAAAAGTTTACAAAGACTGTCAAGAAGTTTTATTTTTCCCTCCAAATACATCAATGTGAACTATGGTTTTCTGCATATTCAAGTGTTTATGTTCTTTTTTCGTTTTTCGTTTTCCTTGGTGTTAGAAAGATCTCTCTGTTGTTTCTGAATTCATGCTTTATGAGGCATGCTTTTATTTCTTTTGGTCATGTAAACTGTATTCATTTTCCAGGTGCCAGCGAGCTTGAGGATGGGGTAATCACTGATGATTTTAACTTTTCAATTGGAAAGCTTGCTACTGGTTATGTGGTTAAAGTGGATAAGGAGTGGGTGTGGTTGACAGTATCTAGACATGTGAAGGCTCATCTATTTCTTCTTGATAGTTCGTGTGAACCAAGTGAACTTATAGACTTTCAGAAACGATTTTATGTTGGGAAAGCTGTTTCTGGTCATGTGTTAAACATTAATAAAGAGAAAAAACTTTTACGTTTGATACCGCACCCACTATCAATTGTTTCTAATGCAACACTTGGCAACAAAATTACCAAGAAGGATGATCCAGAAAGTATTATTTCAAATGAGTTTGTTACCGAACATATTCATGAAGGTGATGTACTTGGTGGCAGAATTAACAGAATTCTTCCTGGTGTTGGTGGATTACTTGTGCAAATTGGACCTCATCTTCATGGGAAGGTTCATTTTACTGAGCTTGCAGATGAATGGTTATCTAATCCTCTGCTTGAATATCAAGAAGGACAGTTTGTGAAATGCCAAGTTTTGGAAATCATTCGTTCAACCAAGGGTTTGTTGCATGTAGATTTGTCATTACGTGCTACTTCCTTGGAAGGTATCCAATCTCCAAAATCTGTGGGACTCAATAATGATTTGTAAGTCATTCATTCATTCCCAATTTGGTTTTTGTTAACCTTTCATGAGAGTTCTATAGAACAAATTTTAAGATATGAAGTAACTCTTCAGGTAATTATTATCTTTGGAATCTTAGTAAGTCTTCATTTTTATTCTCATGCTGTTGATCTAAAGTGTTATTTTTTCATGTATTTCTTTTTCTTTTTTCAGTTACATCATGCAAATGCTTTTTTTTAATAAGTAACAACATTTTATACTAGAAATTTATTATTTTTAGCTGCATTGAAACTGATAAAAAATTTAGCTCCATTAAATCTCTCTGACTTTGTCTTTGGAAAGGCATTTTTAACCGGCTGGGGGGAGTTTACCAAAAAAAGAAATCGGCTAGGGGAGGTGGCCATTTACTTTTGTTTCTTCCCTAGTTCTTTAATTGTTTATTGTGTTCACCACAGAACTGTAGTCTATTAATACTAAAAAAAAAGTCTATTCTTTATTGAAAACTAAGAAAGCAATAAATGATGCACTCGCATCCAGTAATATAACACAGAGAGGCTGTTAAAATCTGAACTTTGGAGGATGGCTTCTCCATTTTGTATCTATGCAAACTTGATTCTATGCTTAGTGTGAAATTCTTGGTGCTTACATGATATCTGGCTTTGTCCATTATTTTTTGACCTTATATGGTGTTAACTTTTCTTACTTCTTCCTTGTGAGTTACAACATTGTTCAACACTAGTTTTAAATTTTTGAGTGTTGGTATGCATTTAATTTGCATATGTTTAATGGAAGGAGGCTTAGAGATTGTGTAATTTCACTCAAGTGGTTGGTTATCCATGAGGTTGATGAACCCAGGAATTTTGAAATTCCAAAAATAAACAAATCTTTTGACAATCCTTCTACCACTGTTTTTCTGGTCAGCCTATCTCAGATTATTGCATTCAAAAGTTGTTACATGACTAATATAAGTTGTGGAATTGTTTCTTTATTGGAACTTGGACGTGAGATAAAGATCTGATACTACATGGTGGAATTTTATGACCATTATTTAGAAGAAATAACTTCTTTTGGCTAAACCAGGAACATCATTTCTAATGAAGCATTAAGCATTTGGAAAGTAGGTGTCAACTGTTTTTTTTTTTCATTTTTTTTTTATGATTGGTAACTTGACGAATTTCATTACTTGTGGAGAAAGGGTTGAAATGTACAAGTGAGAGATGTGCCAAACACCCCATTAATTTTAGGCTACAACTCCTAGCTAACCCACAAACTTCTCAATCATACATTCATGTCCCTTGAGTAGTATCCCCCAATACTGTCGATTTCTGGTCAACCCTTTTTTTTCATTAGTACATCCATCTTGTTGTTAGCCTATCTATGAATCCATGTAAATTAAACCTTTTGTTCCCTTGCCAGATTCTTCACCTCTCAAAATGTTTTTTGCTGCCATAGTTGGGCTGTTGTTTGGAAGCCATCATATTATTTCTTGTGTCCTCTACCACTATATTCTGGTAAATTAGGTTCTTCCCCAACCTTAGCCTTTGAAATACTGTGGTCAGTTCAGCCCTGGTTGAGTCACCATGATCTCTAGGACCAGAAAAATAGCATGATAATGCCTTGGTGGTTCCTGAAAACAACACCAATACTTGAACTACGTGGATTGGCCATGCTACAGCTATCAAAATTTACTTTTATGTTGCGGGGAAAGACCAGCTAGATGGTTGTACTGAACTTATGTATATGCGTCAATGGTTGCATCCGTGTTCCATTGGTATGGATAATATGCTGGATTTTGGAAATTCCTGACTTTGAATGATGCTTAACTTTAAATATAGTACTGGTACTTTTATTTTACTTAAAATAATTTGATTGAAGATGCATTTTTAACTCCTTTTCTTGATTGTTTTTAGGAATTCTCTTATAAGCCGAGTGAAAAGGATTGAGGATATTCATCCTAACATGGCCGTGAAGGTATGAATCAACTTGCTATTTATCCTGATTTCCCTTCATGTTCTTCTATTTCTCTTCATCACCTGAATATATGTGATAACTGAGGGACTTTATCATTATTTGCATTTAATTGTTATTAGTTTTTTTTTCTTTTTGGCTCTAAGGTATCATATATGCAATTATAAAATGACAAATCAAGTGACTGTCTGCATCTTTTTTTCTGTCTTTTTTGCGTTTATTTTATTTACAGCATACTTTAATACAAATCTTTACTTTACCTTTTCTCAAAAAAAAAAAAAAATAGCATCCAAATAATCTTGAGTTAGTTAATGTAGTGCATTCACTAAGTTTTTTAGTTTTTTTCCATCTTATAACACTATGTTTTCCATCTCTTATCCAAACTATTTCTCTTTCATGGTTTCTAAAACATTGGTGGGACAAAGGGGAGGAGAGGAAGAAGGGATGGTCTCTCTCTCTCTCTCTCTCTCACTCCCACCTTTTTGGTTTGAGTTTCAATGTATTTGTTTTGACCTTTGAATCTTGTGGGTGGGCTTTGGCATATCACTAATGTTTTCCCCCTTGTCTAGGGGTTTCATCCTTTATTTCTGTTTTGGTAAATTTCCCCATATCAATACGAAAAATGTTTTTGTGATTATCCTTGTATATTTTTGTTTGTGTGCCACTATGTGCCTTGTAAGTTCATTGCCAATGTTCCTATGTTTGTGCTGGTAGCTATTTGGATTAACTTCTGAGTGTTGCTGAACCATCGTCTGCTCTTTGCACTGATTTGTTTTCCCAATTCATTTAGGGTTATGTTAAGAATGTTACTTCAAAAGGTTGTTTCATCATGCTTTCGCGCAAGATTGATGCAAAAATTCTCCTATCAAATTTATCTGATGGATTTATTGAAAATCCCGAGGAGGAGTTCCCTGTTGGAAAACTTGTATCTGGAAAGTAAGACTAATTTCTTTTTCTATTTAAATAGCTTTCTGTTATCTACCTTGAGTTAATTAAGATTGCCTACAGGGTGTTGTCTGTTGAACCTTTGTCTAAGAGAGTTGAAGTCACTCTAAGAACGGAGAATACAAGCAGTGCATCGAAGATTGACATGTGTGATCTAAGCAGTCTACATGTTGGAGATGTTATTTCTGGCAGGATCAAGCGGGTTGAGACATATGGTTTATTTATCATAATTGATCCCACAAACTTGGTGAGTATGCATGAAGAATTGTTCCTAGAATCTTTGGATAATGGTTACCTTATTACAAATAAAAGGAAAATGACATTTATTCTGATGGTTAGATCAGCAATTGGTGTCCTATGCCAAATAACCTTCCAGATGACTGTGGAATCTGATATTTTCTGATGGTTAGACCAGCCACTGATGGTCATTTTGATTTTTGATCTGGTTGATCTGTATAGTGACCATTTTTTGCTGTAATGGTAAAATCATGGGATGGCAAGTGTGAGAATGCAGGTTAAAGTCTGAGCGTGGTCACTTTGTGCAAAAAATGCCAAAGGTTAGGACCGTATCCAGTCCACCCCACCCAAGACCCCAGATAACTGGGACAGACATTGGGTAATGGCTTTATGTAGTTGATCTCTATGTTGATAATCTGGTCCCAATCATTCTTCTGTGCACAAGATTTTCCTGATATTTGGCCTTGGTATTTTATCAAGGATCCAAGTATCAGTATGGAGTATCTTATTGGTAAGCTTACACGGATTTGGATACGGATACACTTCAGAAGTGCATAGATATGGTGGAAAGATATAGATATGCTTGGATACATTAGGGAAATTGTTTTAGATCCCACAAATACATTGAAAACATTAAATTTAAGGTTGAAACAACCATAAATAAAGTATAAGTAGATAAGAAATGCATATTTTAATGGTACATATGAAGAAATACACGGCAATTAATGTATAAGAAATAATAAATACCATATAATGTTATTGTTAATGCATAGATTAGAAGTCCAAGACACAAATTATATGAACTATTATATTTTAGTATATCAATTATTTATCATTTTATTATTTTACTTTTAGTATTAGCAAAAAAATCAACTTAGTATTAAACTCTAAAATATTTTGTGAACAACAATTTTGGGTTAGTAAATTATAAATATGTTATTATTTAATATAAATTTAAATATTAATTAAGAATTTATAAAAATATAATATCTTAACATAAAATATATCATACCTACTAAAGTTATTAAGATACATATCATATGGATATTCATAAATTTTTTTTACTAAAATAATTATTCTAATATTAATATTATTGTTATAAATTCTTTTAAGTTAAAACTCATTTTTTGATATATATGTGGATTAGTAGAATTGATAGACTCAACTTAATATTAAATTCTCAAATATTTTGTAAACAATATTTGTGTTTTTTTGTAATTAAATTATAAATGTGTTTTTATTTAGTGTAAATTAAAATATTAATTTTATTTATAAAAATATATAATCTTAGCTTAAAAGCATATCAGAGCTATTAAAATTTCTAAGATACATATCTTATGCAGATTCATAAATTTTAATTATTAAAATAATAATTTTATTGTTAGCATTTTTATTTTCGTTAAGTTTCTTTAGATGAAAAATCCTTTTTTGACATAAATGTTTCTTTGATAGATTATTGATTTTATTAAATTTTATAAAACACTAATTTTAAAGAATATTCTTTTTAATTTTTAGTGTAACATAAATGTTTATTATTATTTATTTGGTTTGCATGTTGATGGTAAACTGTATAAAATTTATTTTTGTTTTATTTATTTTTGTTTCATCTCTTATCGTGTGCCTAGCACATGGCTTACTGCACCATTTTGTATTGGTATTGGCTGATATGCTACAATTCAATGTGATACACCCCAATATCGTATTGGCATGCTGCGAAAGAATGTGCCCATTCCTAGCTTGTTGTGTACCCATCTCACCTGATACTGATATGATATGCCCCATATTGGAGGTATTCTATCGATATTTGGATTCTTGATTCTAATCATGTAACATTGTCCTAGGTTGGGTTGTGCCATGTTTCAGAACTTTCTGATGATCACATTGACAACATTGGAAGTAAATATAGAGCAGGGGAGAGAGTTATGACAAAGATTCTGAAGGTAATAATCTTTGTTGTTAAAAATTGGCCTCTGCTATCTAAACATTCTCTTTCTCTCTCTTCCTCTTTCACACACACACAGACACATTTTCCCTGGTAAAATTTGTGGGGTTATTTATTCATGCTTATTTATCCTATCATCAGGTAGACAAGGAAAGACAGAGAATTTCTCTTGGAATGAAGAATTCTTACTTGAGCGATGATACCAGTGTTGACCTTTTGAATAGAAATATTGATGAAAACAAACATGAAAATGGCTTGGTTGATGATCCTTTGGTTAGCATTTCCCAAGAGAGAAGTGCATGTGGGATCCAAGATTCTGATCCTGATTATGGGAGTAGAGAATGCGAAGTCCTTGCACAAGCAGAATCAAGGGCTTCTATTCTTCCTCTTGATGTTAATCTTGATGATGTAGATGGCTCTGATTTGGATAATGCAGTAAATAGAGCTGAAGAACATGACAACGAGACTGCTACCATTTCTGAGAAGAACAAGAGGCGGGCAAAGAGGAAAGCAAAGGAAGAAAGGTCATTTCATTACTGGAAACTGTTGCAAAACTAGTTCTTCCTCTGCAATTCTTTTTTTGTTTTTCTTTTACTTGAAATTTTCTGTACAGGGAGCTTGAAATTAGAGCTGCCGAGGAAAGACTTCTTGAAAAGGACATTCCAAGGACATCTGATGAATTTGAGAAATTGGTTAGAAGCTCCCCTAATAGCAGCTTTGTTTGGATTAAGTACATGGCCTTTGCTCTGTCTGTGTCTGATGTTGAGAAAGCTCGTTCAATTGCTGAAAGGTATATTGCTTGGACTGAAAGAAATTAAATTTGTTAAATGTGTTGACAACAAATTCTGATGTTTTTATTTCTATATGTTTTTTTTTTAATTTTTTGGTAAGATTGTTTTTTTTTTTCAATTTCGAGTTTTCTTTTTCTTTTCCTGCCAAGTGGATGCCCTCCTTAGGCTCCCAACATTTTTTCTTCTTAGGCCTCCTTTTTGTGACCCATTCTTGACACTACTGAAAAATCCTTTTCCAACTCTATGAGGTTTGGCTACATAAATCCTGTTTTGCCATTTCACTCTATTAAGGGTTTCTGGGATATGGGATCCTTTACAAAAATATGAACATAGAAGTAAACTAAAATGGGTTACAAGGAAGAAATATAAAGCCCAAGATTTCTTTTTGATATTTAATTGGGAAAGAGAAAGGGAAGGAAATTTTATGCTGCGCTATGTTTTACCAAATGAATTCTATATTCAGTCATTCCTGATATTGCTTTTTTCATTTTTTAGTGAGCAGTTGCTTTTTGCTCAACGTTCCTTTGTTATGATCTAGTAGAATGAAGGCCCGACCTTAAGAATTGGGCATAAGGCCTGGATCTGATCTTTGACATGCATGCGTGCATGTGTCCAGCTGGTGTAAATTTGTGGGCTGGTTCAGTCTGGGCTTGGATTGGGCCTGCCTAAGTTGCATCCCTCACCTCCCCCTTTCTTTGGGAAGTGGTCTCCATGATAGAAACATGTAACATGTCAAGTACATCAACCGGGTATTAACATATCTTGATGGAAAAATATATACAAGAGGTTGTTTATCTTTGAGTTTCAGTTATGCTTTAATTATTTCTTTCTTTATCACCAACTGCTGCTCTTTTATGTTTTGAAGGGCTTTAAGTACCATAAACATCCGCGAGGAGAACGAAAAATTGAATATTTGGGTGGCTTACTTTAATTTGGAAAATGAATATGGAGAACCTCCACAGGTAGAGATATCTTGTTTGACATCAGGTGTTATGTTTTCCTCTTTTTTTTTTTTCTTTTCTTTTCTATCTTCATTATTTTTTTTTTTAAAGTTGCCAATTTCTTTCAGGAGGCTGTCATGAAAACATTCCACAGGGCATTACAGTATTGTGATCCAAAAAAGGTGCATCTAGCATTGTTAAACATGTATGAAAGGACTGAACAATATAATCTAGCTGATGAGCTTCTGAACAAAATGGTCAAGAAATTCAAGCATTCTTGCAAGGTATTTCCCTCTACTTTATACTGAAGGGTGTAATTATCCAAGTATGAAATGCTTAACGTTGATGAAATTGCAGGTCTGGTTAAGGCGAGTACAGAGTCTCTTGAAGCAAGGGAAAGATGGAGTTCAATCAGTTGTCAGTCGTGCTCTTCTATGCCTTCCTAAGAATAAGCATATAAAATTCGTCTCTCATACAGCCATTCTTGAGTTCAAGTTTGGTGTACCTGATAGAGGGCGATCCGTTTTTGAGGAAATACTGCGGGAATACCCGAAGAGGACAGACTTGTGGAGTATCTATCTTGATCAAGTAAATCTCACTTCCCGTAATAACACCCTTTAAGCTTGCTCATGCTTTACCTTGAGGAATTTCCATGCCCTAATCCTTTTTCTTTTGATACTCCTCATTGATGAAACTAATAGGAGGTTAGACTTGGAGATGCGGACATTATTCGTGCATTATTTGAGAGAGCAGTAAGTTTGCGTCTTCCACCGAAAAAAATGAAGGTATGCCTATGCCACATGCACCAATTAATATTGGTTTGGCCTCTTTGGCATTTACTGATGTCAATTCCATTCATATGTAGTTTATATTCAAGAAGTATCTCGAGTATGAGAAATCTTGTGGCCATGAAGAACGAGTTGAATATGTTAAGAGGATAGCAATTGAGTACGTGGAGAATTCACTTGCTTGATGACTGGTCAAACCATCTCGAGATGAGAATGATTTGCTGACTCAATTCTATTGAAGAAAAGTCAGATGTGCCTTTGTGTACCATCTTAGAGAAGAGAACCCTGCCCTTCTCAAATTAGGGATGTCAATGCCCAACAGGTCAAGAGCAACAATTCCGGGCAATCTTGTACAGACTACAGAGAGAAGTTCAATGTAATTATTACGGCAATGACTGTAAAATGTTATTTTTCATTCCTATGCAGTGAGAGGGTAATTTGAGGTGGAAAGAGATGTCTGAAATCTAAGGTCAGATTTCATGATTTCATCTCTGCGGCATGCTGTCATTCAGCAATTTTTCTCGTGTAAAAACACATTATGGACTATGGAGCTTCATGAGAAATTTTTGTAATTTACGGGATAAACGAAAGGGGTTGGCAGACCATAGTGTATTTAAGCTCGAGTATCCGTTAAATTAAGGCCCAAGAGGCCAAGATTGTTAATCGTGTTCTTGCTCAGTGAATGTCTAATGGCTCTTTTATGGTTGTACTTTGGATTCTATGTTGGATCTCTGTACATTCTCTCTCTCGTAAACCAAAGCAAAAAAAAGGTTAAATACTATATCAGATGGTAATGCAATTAATCTGCTACGTTCGGTTTCACGAATCCTGCCGCGATTCTGCCATGTTCAGTGGTTTATCATTGTTAATTCATTTCCTACTGCAAATTAATCTGTTCCTTGTAACAAATCACGTTGTTATTGGTGCTTTCCTGTAGTCTGTAGATGGTATTATCTTAACTAATCTTCAAGAGTGCTTGCATTGTGGAAACGTGATGTGTCTTGTACTTGGCCAGAGGAGAGAGGATCTTCTAATTGGCCCAATATCATGCTAAACGCATTGTGGTTTGGCATTTGGTGGTGATCTCGGAAAGATCGGAGACGACTGGCGAGCTTCTAGAAGAGGTCTATATGGTACCTCGACAGGCTGGGACACCACAAGCTGTTCGGACCTCGGTCTTAGCCGAGGTGCCTGAGCTGACCTGGCCTACTGAGGTGTTCGGAAATGTTGAACTGCCATTTAAGCATCAGGTTACTCCATGTGTCTGTACCAACGGGCCAAATTACCCCTCATCAAACACCATTTGAAATCTTTATTTTGATAGAAAATCAGAAAGTTGAAGAAAAGTTCTAAAGGAATTTTCACAAAATTCCTTCAATTTTTGGTTTCAAACCAAACATAGCCTAAGGCAAGGCATAAGTGAAGGTACAGGAAAATTCAAAATAAATTCACTTTAAAACCAATGTCCCATTCATTTTTTGGGGAGTTACTTACCCAGTTAAATATTTCTGAGGAAACACTTGTTGGGTAAATGCATTTACTCGTGTTCTTTTATTTCCTAGGTAAAAAAGGCAATGATCATTTTAGCCGTAAAAAGTCATTATTGAAAGGGGCAATTTTGTCCTATCCAAGTGTTAGCAACTTCCCTCAAGTGTGAAAGTGGGAGATGGGTGTCACTTCTGAAAAAAGAACATGAGTTTCTTGGTCAATGAGAACTAAAATCCCATTAACAAACTTTCCCCCTCTCAAAATCCAAGAAAATGAATCAGCCATAAAAGTGAAAGGAAATCAAGACAAAATAGGAAGGTAAATTCTTCTAAAGAAAATCTCTCTTATTTATTTCTTCTTTTTCTTCTATAATTTCATTTTTTTTATTCCTTGTTTTCTTAGCAACCAAACAAGATGGGGTTATTCACTTGAAAGGGACTCTTTCATTGTAATCTACATATTACCTTTAAACTCAACTTGTATTGTCATGTCTCCATCTCAGACAAAGTCACCAACTAAAAGTTCCCCACCCCCTCTACCCGAGAATGTGAAGGGTCCTAATTTGAGTAACAGCCCAAAAGTGAGAAAGAAAGAGAAAGAGAGACCCTCATAGCCTTTAGAGCGCTTTAATGCTTGGGCCAGCTTGCTGAGATCCGGTTGGTATGATTGGGTTTAAATGCTTTGGTCGCTGTAGTGCGGTTCATCCGGTCTAACCCAGGTGTACACCAACCAATTTGCATCCAAGGAGGGAACCTTGAACTTCTGGTAAGGATGAAAGCCGGTAGTAATTAGTAAAGAATTCGGATTTATTATGATGGTGAGATATATGGTGTCAGATCACATTGGTAGGGTGTTGGAACGTGATTTAGTGAACTGTTTAAATTAAAGTCTCTATATATCTGATTCATGTTTGAAAGTTTGTTGGAGCAACGGAACTGTGGTGGTGAAAAAATCAAAGGAAGAACCAAAAGAATCTGAAGAAGAGAAGATGAAAAGAAAGATCACGTAGAATTCTGGGTTTACTTGTTCTTACCTTCTTGAGCTGTCTAACAAAATGTTTTAGATGACAAGAAATATAAAGTAGTTTCAGTTTTACACTCAAGACTTTTCAGCTACCAATTCCCAACACAACCCACTTAATACAAAAGACAAAACATAAAGGAAAATTATAGAATTACCACTCTTACTTTTCAACACCCCCTCTTAATTTGTAATTTTCATTAGAGATCTAAAATTTAGAAACTTTTCAGAAGCTAGGGGTGTGAAGATATCAACAACTTGATCTTTAGTCTTGATGAACTTCAATTCGATATCTCCTTTCTCAATTGACTCTCTGGTGAAGTGGTGTATCAGCTCAATGTGCTTTGTTCTTCCATGAAAAATTGGATTTTGCCATTGCAATAGCTGGAGTGTTGTCACAGTAGATTGTAGTTGGGTCATCTTGCACAAATTGAAGGCATTTCAAAAGTCTTCCAAGCCAAATTGCTTCACAAGATGCACTAGTGGCTGAAATGTGTTCTGCTTCAATTGAAGATGGTGCCACAATATTTTGCTTCTTTGATGACCAAGAGATCATTTTACTTCCCAAGGAGAAAACATATCCAGATGTGCCTTTTCGGTCATTTATGGAACCAGCCCAATCACTATCTGAAAATCTAACCAGCTTGCAGTCATTTTCACTTTCATATTTCAGCCCAAAGTTCTTGGTTCCTTTCACATATTTGAGTATTCTCTTTGTTGCTCCAAAATGAACCTTACTTGGCTTGTTCATGTATCTTGAAACAATGCTTCTGTAGATTGATGCATCTACTAATTCTGCTCCATCCTCCTTTGACAACTTTTCATTGACAACCATAGGAGTAGTTAGGGGTTTACAAGTTGACATATGAAATCTTTTTAACAAATCATCAACATAATTCTCTTGAGACATAAAAAATTCACCATTTCTTTGCTTCACTTGAATCCCAAGAAAGTATCTCATTAACTCCAAATAGGTCATTTCATATTCCTTAGTCATTGCTGATTTGAACTCATTCAACAATTTTGGGCTATTACTTGTATAAATCAAATCATCAACATAAAGACAAACAATGATGAAATCATGCATACCTTCTTTCTTGACATAGAGTGATGGCTCATTTGGATTTTTTTTAAATCCATTCTTACGGAAATATTTATCAATCTTGCTATTCCATGCCCGAGGTTTTTGTTTTAGGCCATATAAAGCTTTTTGAAGCTTGCAAACCTTCTCCTCCTTTCCTTTTATCACATATCCTTGTAGTTGTTCAAGATAAACTTCATCTTCTAAATCTCCATTTAGGAAGGTTGATTTGACATCAAATTGAAACACTTGCAGTTTTAGTTGAGCAGCAAGTGCAAGCACAATTTTGATTATTTTCATTCTTGCAATTGGTGCAAAAGTCTCATGAAAATCTACCCCCGGTTGTTGGGCATAGCCTTTCGCCACTAATCTTGCTTTGTGCTTTTGGATTGACCCATCTTGTTCTTCTCTATCATTTCAATTTCTTCATCTATAGCTTTCACCCAAACTTCTTCTTTTGAGGCTTCTTCAAACTTCTGTGGTTTTAATGCAAGAAATGCAACATCATAAGAATCAAAGATTTCTTGAAGTGGACGTACTTTTCTTGGTGGAGTATCCAAATCTACATCACTTAGGCTTACTTGCCGTGGATCTTGGTTTCTTGAACTTGAGGGATCCGTTCTTGGACTGAAACTTGTTGAGCTTGATCTTCTTTAGTTTGCTGGCCTTGCATTTGATGTAGTTGTTTCATGCTCATGGTCATTGGGCATCATTTCTTCTTCCTCTTCTACAACATATTTCTTTGTTTGTGGAGAATTTTCTTCAAAGTTCCATGCCCCTGCATGCCCCATCTTCAACAAATATTACATCTCTTGAAATTACCAACTCATTTGTAGTTGGATTCAACAATCTATAACCTTTGGATTCATCATTGTAACAAAGGAATATACATTTCTCACCTTTGCCATCAAACTTCTCTTTCTTCTTTGAGGAAATGTGAGCATAAGCAATGCATCCAAACACTTTAAATGAGCTAACAACAAGCTTTTTCTTTTGTGCCATGCTTCAAAAGGTGTTTTATTTTGCACGGCTTTGGTGGGAGAGCAATTTAAGATGTGGACAGCAGTATGAACCACTTCAGCTCAAAAATTTTTGGGAAGATTTTTACCTTGCATCATGCTTCTTGCCATTTCTACAATAGTTCTATTTCTTCTTTCAACTATCCCATTTTGTTGTGGGGTATGTCTTACGTCAACTCTCTTTTGATGTCTTGTTCTTTACAAAACTTTCCAAATTCTCTCCATATAAACTCTTTTCCTCTATTAGTCCTCAACGCTTTTAATTTGTGATCACTTTGCTTCTCAACTAAAGCTTTGAATTGAATAAAAGTAGGCAATGCTTGTGATTTTGCATCTAAGAAATATACCCACATCAATTTAGTAAAATCATCAACAAAGAGAAGAAAGTACCTCTTGCTGTTAAAGGAATGTGTCCTCATGGGACCACAAATGTCAGCATGGATCAGTTCCAATGGGGCCTTTGAATGCCATGATCTCTTTGAAAATGGTAGTCTATGATGCTTCCCATAGATGCAACCTTCACATACTTTGTGTTCTCTATCAATTTGAGGAAGTCCAATCATCATATTCTTATGATTTAACAAAGAAAGACTTCTGAAATTTAAGTGTCCATATCTCAAGTGCCATAACATGGACTCATCCAACTTCTCACTCTTCATCCCATAATTCACATCATAGGACATGGTTAATGGAAACACTTTGTTAGCAGCCATTTTTACTCTAACAATGATTTGCCTTTTCTTCTTATCGGTTATTACACATTCATCATTGTCAAAATGCACCCCATAACCTTTTTGTATAAGTTGTCCAACACTAAGCAAATTTTGAGTCAAACCGGAAACATAAAGAACATCTGAGATGAGTTTAAAATCACCTTTCTTAGTTTGGACTGCAACAACTCCCTTTCCTTCAACACTTTGGAGTTTGCCATCTCCAAGTTTCACTTGAGAGTTTACATGTTCATTCAGCTCCAGAAAACATTCTTTGTTTCCCGTCTTGTGATTACTACAGCCACTATCCAAATACCAAATTTCTTTTGTCTCTTGTTGGGTGTTCATACAAGAGTAAAATAGATGATTTTCTGAATCATCATTTTCAATATAGTGGGATTGTTCTTTCTCCTTAAATTTGCAATCCTTTGGAGTATGAATATGATTTTTGCATTTTTTACATCTGAAGAAACGGTTTTGGGGCAAATGGTTGTATTTCTTGCAAATAAAACAAACATTGTTTTGCTTTTCATCTCTTCCACTTCCATACATTCTACCTCTTCCTTGTCCTCTTCCTTTGCCTTGATGTGACCATTCTCTTGGAGTTTCTTTTTCACCATCATTCTTTTTCTTTTTTGCAATGGTGAATTTGGACTGAAAAGCTTATTCCAGYGAAGAAGATGAAAAGTTTTTCATTCTATCCTCATGAGTTTCAAGTGAACTCATTAACTCATGCATGGATAGTTTAGTCAAATCTTTGGCTTCTTTAATGGCATCCACCACATGGTCAAATTTAACTGGTAAACTCCTCAAAACTTTTTTCACAATTTTTTCATCTGAGATAACATCTCCATAAGTCCTTATTTGATTTACAATACCAGCAACTCTAGAAAAGAACTCTTGAACAGATTCACTTTCTTTCATCATAATATTACCAAAATCTCTCCAAAGAGTTTAAAGTTTTATAAATTTTACATTTTCGGTGCCCTGAAACTCTTTCTTGAGAATATCCCATGCTTCTTTTGAGCTTTTGGCAGCCATGATTCTTGGAAAGATTGTTTTATTTACTGCTTGTTGAATATGGTACAGGGCTCTAGCATCAACTTTCCTATTTTCTTTGTACTCCTTCTTGTCTTTAGTGCATGTTGCAAGTTGCTAAAGATTTTCGGGTTTTCGTATCCTTTTTCTACCAGCTCTCAAATCTCCTTGGAGATGAAAAATGTCTTCATTTGTATGCTCCAATAATCATAGTTTTATCCATAAAAAATAGAAAGTGAAAATTTTTGAAAAGGATGTACCGGAGAGCTGTTGGAACTTGATGCCATGAAAGGTTTTAGTTTTAGTTTTGAACGGCTGAATGGATCTTTGCTGTGATACCAAAAATTTGTTGGAGCAAAGGAAGTGTGATGGTGAAAAGATCAAAGGAAGAACCAAAAGAATCCGAAGAAGAGAAGATGAAAAGAAAGCTCACGTAGAATTCTGTGTTTACTTGTTCTTAGCTTCTTGAACTGTCTTACAAAAAGTTTCCGATGACAAGAAATATAAAGTATTTCACTTTTACCAACTCCCAAGACCACTACCAACTCTCAAAGGAAAATTACAGGATTACCACTCGTACTTTTCAACAGAAAGATTCCTAAATAGTTTACCAAAACCCACGTGAGGATAATTTGAATGATTGATCCAGTATTTCGAGTAAAAAGTACTGTGGACGATTTATTAGACTGGTTGCACTTGCACAGGCCTTGTTCACTTGCAGATATTTGGCCGAAAGCAACTGAACTCAGACTTCCTTCACATCACAGTTCTCAGACCACCGTCACGTATAACAGGTATCTTCAATGCTGTATATCCACCACTGCCAATTCGGTATATTGATAGCCCGTTTGGGGTGTGTTATGTAGTGGTTGAATATCGGTGTTTCAGAGAAGTTACTCAAAATAATTAACTTCATATTTGAATAGTGATCTGGGCGTTTGGATTTTGGAAAGCCCATATTAATTTTTCCGAATTTTTATTAAACACAGCTTCAAAACAATTAAATTCCAATCCCAATACACACACAGACAAGCTAGTGCTTTCTTGATATACACACTGCATACAAACAAGAGGTAGAGTTGTCTTAAAACAGTAGAAAGTCCACACAGATGGGCTAGAAACTAGCTAATTAATTAGTAGAGCTATATATATCTGTCTAATTACTAATTATATATAGTAGAGGAGCACAACATATATATAACTCCACCATGCATATAGCTAGCTAGCGGCCTTTCTCATGGATTTGGCCATGAGAACTCGGTGGTTCCCTTCTCTGGATGTGTATACTTATAATTAATTGGTCACATCGATCGATCCTTGAATGGTCTGACGATCAGAGGAAGGATTAGTTTTCCTGCTTTGTTTTATCCTTGAGTTCCTTGTTCACTTTGTCATTTTCTTTAGTTGATAACTCCTTGGGTCTAACAGTGGGATTGTTTCTGTTGGTTTGACTACCACTGCCTTTATCCACTGGCGGTGGGCTTGCTTCTACTTTGAGAAGAACGTCAGCAGCCTGAAGATAGGAAATGATGGATTCGGGCTGCTCTGGAACAGTCATGTTGCTCCGACGATTGGTGGAGTTTGCAGGACTTATCATCGACCATTTCTTAAATGCAGCTGCCTTGAGAACAACATTGATCTGAGAAGGAGGGCTTCTGTTTCTGGGTTTCCAGGTGCCAATTCCTCTTCCTCTGTAATTATTGAAAACAATTTTGTGAGATTAAAACTATGTGACACACACTACTTAGAAAGATTACTTCTACTTGATGAATTGAAATGAATAAAAAGAAGAGAGAACAGCATTAGAAAAGCAAAATGAACTACTTACGCGGCTGTTTTGATCTGTTGATTGTTGGGCTTCATCAGGTGGAGCATTTGAGAGGAGTTGTTGGTGATCACCAATTGAGCCATTATTGATGAAAAGGAAATAATAGATCAGGAGTACTGAGATGTATGCACAATATTTCTGTGCTAAGTCTTGCTGTGTTTCTCAGTTGGGACTTGAGAAGAGCATAGACACATGCATGCTTATAAATAATAAGATGAATTCCTTCACAATTGAGTGGTGAATGAAAGCCTGAAAGGCACTCCCTGATCAATCATGGAGTTCATTTTACACTAACCAATGAAAAGAAGGCATGTAATGATCAATTACATTCAACTTTAAAGCGTGAAAGTGGATTGGGTACTATCACACTAATCCCTTTAAACGTTTTCTTATTATGGGTAACCACAGAAACGCTCCCAACAAGCTATTGCAGCCGTACATTGGGAACAACTCCCTTTGCCATTCATGAGGAGAGGAGATGTTCCCAACGTGGGTTGCAGTGGCGGGTTGGGACAAGTTGGGAGTGTCTGATGATAGGTGCCAGCTGATCTGAATTCGATCTGATCATGGTCAGAGCTGGCGGCTGGGCAGGACTCCAAAATCATTTTGTTAACCGGCCGGACTTTAATTTGCTTGGCCCAAAAATAATGTTTCATGGCAATGCTAATGTTTTTCACGGAAATGTTGGGATGTGTTTGGCACCTTTCTATTTCTACCTCCAACATTTTGGGTTGATTAATATAAATTGACTCATATATAATATTATTTGAGGCTGTTTATAATTGGGGTGAATTGCAAATTAAGTGGCATGTAAAGGATAAAAATGCCCTTAGGGTGTCATTTAATTTTCATTATCAACCAACCATATTGAATTCATTTTATCCTAATTCTTTTTTTTTCCTCTCCCATACAAAGCCTCTCTTGATGTTGTTGTCTCTCATCTCTTTACAATCTCATATTCAAAGAAGACAGTCTCTCGAGGTAGTTATCAGAGAACAACAACATGTTTTTCTTTCTCTTTCTTTTTTTCTTTTTTTTTTGTTTTTTCTATTGTTAATGGCCCTCTTGATTAATGAATAAATTCTGTTTTTTTTTTTTTTTGTTTTTTAATAAGTTTATTTATTTGAAAATGACAAGAGATGAAAACATAATAAAATCCATGAAGAAATATTTTTCCAATAATGGATGTAAACAAAGATGAATTAGGACTCTGTTCATCGCTACTTGATCTGGTTTAGTCTCAAGGAAGAAGCCAATGAATAGCATCTTCTTCTTCTAAGGGTAAGTTTGGAATTTTAAATGTTACAAATTACATGTAATATCATGTGTGTCAAATAACTACCAGACCGCTAAAGACGAGTACTAAATTAATAGTTTTTTTTTTTTTTTTCTTTTTTTCAAATTCAGATTCAGGTATTAAAATGAGACTAGCCCCGAAGTACAAAGTATTAATCTGCAATTTACCCTTCTAATTGAAACATGCATGCCTTTAAAATACATGCATGGGAGACTGTTTGTTGAAATGTTAAATCGATTCTATCAATAAAAAATGCGAGCTTCTCAGTTCATGAGGACTGACATCACAAGTGGACAAATTATAAAATTCATGTCCCGAGGTGTGGCTCATAGAGGTTGGTTTTTAAGATAATTTTAAAACTCATTGTAGCTAAAGTAACTCTTTATATCGGTTTATATGAATTAGTCCAAAACACTTGAAGAAGAAATTAGAAAGATAATCCCAACAGACCAGCCTTCAGAGTCAGATTAATCGCTTGCCTACTTCGTACCTGGATTGGCTGCAAGCAGTTTTTATTTAGGCAAATTTGAATGGGATTTCAATATGATTAAAGGTCATCCAATTCCCTCTATTGATAATTGGATATATATGATAATAATTCAATTCGATTCAGTATATTTATGTATGTATGCATCATATATCTATATTGTATTTATTTGTAAAATTGTTTTGAATGTAACATTTTTACTAGTGTCATAGGTTCAATTTTCATACAAGTATTTTTTTGGTTAGATAAAAGTAAGATTTCATTAAAATTACAAAGGCTCAGTTTGGAAGAAGTACAGAGATAACTGAGGCCAGAACAGGTTTTCCCTTCATATATACAAGTTATTTTCGATTCATTTTGTTCATAGAATATAATACCAAAGTCATTATTAATTCATTTTTTATCACAACTTGATCTTTTTTTATTATATATTAATACCCCTCAAAATCCCATTACAATTCAAAAGTCATGTATGATATAAACCTGATATAGATAAGATCGAATCTGAAATAGAATAAAAAGGAGTCCAAATTCGCTTTTTTGATTATTGATTTATTATTTGATCCATTTGCAGCCCCACCTCTTTATTGGCCATGAGTTTTTAAACATGGGAAAATCTATGATACAGGAAAGATATGATATGGAAAGAATTCTGGCCAATCAAAACCTACCCATGAATTTTGATAAATGACACCTGATTCATTACCACTTTTATGATTCCAGTTTATTAGTCAGTTGTTTTTTCGATATCATATGTTTTCCATACCATAGTTGAACCCTTCAAACATTATTGAACCTTTAATGGCTATTATGAAAAACATCTTGTCTCAAAAGAAACAATCTCCGTGTCTGCATGTTCACACAGCCACACCCAATGACTAGTGGATAGGGTCTGGATCACCTGCCAATAAAATATGTTCCAACAACCTATCAACATAATTTGACACTACACATCTATTATATGATAGGTTTCAGTGTCATAGTAAAATGTATGAAATCACGGCTTTTGAGGAATTAATGTAGCCCCACTTCAACATCACTACGTCCAGTTCAGGGCTAAAAACATTGAATGATGACTGAATTTTGTTGAGTGAAATAGAAAGGCACTACTTCATCCAAGTCAATACAACAAAAAACACTTTATCATTGACCCACATATCTTTAGGGCCTTTTTTATGTTTGTTATAAACAAACAGTTCTACCAGATAGACACAATCCTAGCTCTATTGTTTCACCAGACCCCTTTACAAATACGGTGACTTCCAACACTGTTAATATCTTTTGTATCTAGACCTGTTCATGGATAGGGCTTTAGGCTCAACTAACTCTATACTGTTTTGGGTTTAGGTTTTAAACCAGCTTCATTAGAATTTTGATAAAAGTCAAACCCAAACCTGACTCATGAACAAGGGCTTTAGGCTCAACTAACTCTATACTGTTTTGGGTTTAGGTTTTAAACCAGCTTCATTAGAATTTTGATAAAAGTCAAACCCAAACCTGACTCATGAACAAGTCTATAGGTACATGCATCATAACCATATCTGCAAGTTTATACCTATTTAAAGACGTGTGCCTAGCATCTTAGGATAAAAATAATTGAATATTGTAAACTCCATGTGCCTAGCCTAATGTTTGATTATATATGTGCCTTTTGTTTTCAAAACTGAAATTAACATTGATCTTGAGTTATGTTTCTGATTAGAACAGTTTTCATAATATTGTGTTTCATATATCATATGATATTTATAAATCATATTCGTAATTCTTCCTAAAATAAATATGATATCTATATTACAAACCTTTTTTTTTTCGTTTTTGAAAACCATCATTTTGATGGTTTCAAAAACATAAACATAAATTGTTTATTTTACATAAAACCACATTGATTTTGCTTTTGGAAACAAAAATACGGTTCAAGAATGTGTTTTTGTTTTTTCTCCCGGTGTGGCAATTTAAAAAAAAAAAAAAACAGATGAAAACAAAAGCATTAAATCGTATCATAGTGCAACACTCCCTTAAATGCCGAGTTAAAAAATTCATATTATTAAGCCTTATTGGGTAGTTAATAGCTGCTACCCAAGCAAAAACTACTGGGCAAGCTACCTCTCTCAATTGTATTCGGACGGATCTCACCCTCATTCACGAAAAGGAGAGTGAGATCTCATCTCCAACTGACTTCTTGAATACTCTTTCTTTCTTTTTTTTTTTTTTTGATAAAAAACAGCATAGTTGCTCAACACAACGATGACATTCTTTAATTATATGACTATAACTCCACAATAGAGGAGAAAAACCAAGCATCACATATTCATAAGCGATGACTTCCCAACTCGTCAAGACTAGGCCTTTTGCATGATCTAAGAATTAGAAAGCAGGGGTGTCTACAGTTCAGTTAACCGAATCATAGTTATTTTTCTTTTTTTTTTTCAAATAGAACCAGTTTTATCAGTTTTTTAATTTTTCCAAATCGAAAATTGAACCGGTACCACCGGGGTTAACTGATTGATTGGTTTCAGTTATAAATATAATATATGTATATTATTTAAATAAATAATGCATATATATTTATATATAATATATAAATAATATGCGATATATATTAAAAATATGTAATATACATATAAATATATATACTGATTGGTTCTGTTAACCACATTTTCCAGTTTAGTTTGTTTTTTATGGACACCCCTAGAAAGCACCCAACGGGTTGATTTCTCAAAACCTTGATTCCTAGCTAATACTTAAAAACCTTATATGGGGTTGAGTTATAACTCAAATAATAAAAGAAATAAACAAATGATCCCTAGAAAAACATCCCAAACTCTTCTATAAATGACTTGTCGGATAAGTCATTTAAAATATTTACTCATAAACTTCTATAATGTTTACCTTCACAAATAGCTCTTTAGGCTCAGTTCGGAAGGAGTACAAACACAAATATATCTAGAGTGCAAAACCTTGTCTTTGCATTATTTTGTATGCATTTGTATTGTATTTGTAATCTTTCCAAATTAATCTTAGGCTCGTTTTGGGAGGAATATAAATACAAATATGTACAATGCAAATACAAAAGTTTAGAAATATCATGTACAAGACTTTTCACTATACATGCATATTTGTATTTTTTTGCTCTTCCCAAACTAAGCCTTACTAAGAACAAAAATAATTTCGATCATCAAGGGTTCACAGAATTGCTGAAAGTAACTGAATTAGAGTTTCTTAGTATATATATATATATATATATATATATATATATAATGTAAGCTCTTGAAACCATGGTAGAATGTATCTCCTACTGTGACAACCACAACTGCCAACTCGGTGTATTAATTGAGTTTATTTAAATTGCCAAACGAGCGGTACGTAGCTCCAAGCAAGGCTTGATTCATAATCGGGAAGTTGAAGTGAAAACACAGCAGCTCGCAAATGAATCTTCTTGGGGATGACGAGCTACCTTCATCAATGGTAGGTGGTCCCCCGCCGCTGGTTCAATAAATTTCAGAACGTAGTAACCTACGTCTACCGTTGTAATGAACTTGGTTGTATACCATAAATGCCTCGTCAAACGACCACAAGGATCCAAAAGAAAGAATCAAATAATTAAACCGTTGTTTGTGATTCTAGATTCCAGTAAATTTCCTATATTATATATAGTTAGTTAAATACAAATTGAAGTCTGTTCTGTTTAAGTCAACTTTTCTTCATGATCATGATGATGTTCGATCACAGTTGATACTTAATTGTGACAAATCTATTGGAACGTAATGGAGTAGTAGAGATCGATATCAAATTAAAGCTTCACAATACAACTTCATTCCAACCCAAAGTTTTTTACATAGAAAAGAGAACATTTATTATCTGATAGAAGATTACCTAGAGCTTTTGCAGAGGCAAACTAGAAGTAGATAGAGTTCTCTTAAAATAGTGGAAAGTTTGGAAAGGGATAGAGCACCAAGTCCACACAGATGGCTAGAAACTAGCTAATTAGTAGAGCTATATATATATATATATATATATCTAACTGTGTCTAATTATATATAGAGGAGCACACAACATATATATAAGTCCACCATGCATTATATATGCATATAGCAACTAGCTTTATAGGGGCCTTTCTCTTGTGTTCGGCCATGAGAAGTCTCTGGTCTGAGAAAGAGAAAGGGTCCCTTCTCTCTGCAGGATGTATATTAATATTGATGGGTTCGGCCCAGTTGATCGCCGCGCTTTTGGATGTGTGGTTGGGACTTGTGAGCATCCTTGCTGCTGGTCTGAGGATCAGAGACAGGATTAATGTTCTTGTTTATCTCCTTGTCAATTTGTTCATGGTTGATTTGAGGAACTTTGCCTGGATTTCGTTTCGGTTTCTGTGTCTTCTGGAGAAGAATGTCAGCGTGAAGATAGGAAATGGATTTGGGCTGTGGAACAATCATTTTGCTCCCAGAAGTAGAGCTTGCAGGTCTTGTCGGCGATTTCTTAAGTGCAGCTGCCTTGAGAACAACATTATTGATCTGAGAAGGAGGGATTCTGCAGCTTCTGCTTCTGGGTTTCCAGATGCCATTTCCGCTGTGAAATAAAATTAATGAAACCAATTTTGTGAGATTAAGATAGATATGTGACGACACACATTAATTAGAAGGATATATTACTTGATGAATGAAATGAGTATATAAAAAGAAAATCTAGAGAACAGCATTAATAGTAAAGCAAAATGAACTACTCACGTAGCAGTTTTGATCTGTTGATTGTTGGGATTCATCAGGTGGAGCATTTGAGAGGAGTTGTTGGTGATAACCAATGGAGCCATTATTATATTGATGAAACTAAATAAAACGAGAGAGATCACAGGAGTGATGTGTGCACAATTGCTGTGCTAAGTAGTAGTAGTCTTGCTGTATATTTCTCAGCTGGGACTTGGGAATTGAAGAGCATATACGCTTGCATGGTTATAAATAAGATGGATTATTCCTACTGGTTAATGAAAGGCACTCCATCATCAATCCTGGAGTTCATTTTACAATAACCAATGGTAAGAAGCCATGTATATATATATATATATATATATTTCGCTCAATTCCTTTCAACTTTTTTAAATTGTGAAAGTTGATGGGTTTGACCCATAATGGGATAGCTTAATTTTAATTATCAATATATATAATATCACAATGGAGTTTGGCTTTGGTCCGGGCAAAAGCCGGTTTGAGCAGTCTTAAATTTACAGCCTTGCATTGAGAATATCTCCCTTTCTTAGAGAGATATTTTCAATGCAAGGTTGAAAAAGGCCGTTGGAACGGTGTGGGTATGGACTTGTCCTGACGGAAGCTGATTTCATGACGAGTTCAACTATGCTGTAAATTTTGATGAGCTTTGGTTATTTAGAGAGTGAGTATGGAATTCACCCACATGTACAGCTTAGGATATTTCCAATACACACACAGTTGGAATGTGGTGTAGGGCGTCAATGTGATCTCGTATGTGTGGGAAATCCGGTCACGGTCAAAACTAGTGTACCATATGTAATTTACAAATAATTCACAACTGATGTATGGTTCATAGAGATTGTATTTAGGATGGGGTGAAGTTTAATCATTCTTGTCAATGAGATTCCTCATATATGGTGATACGAGAAAATACACATACATACATACATACATACACAATTGTTCATCATGCCTGAAAGTCACACTAAAATGAATGTGGAATAATGTTCAGACCACTATTTCTACAAATTAATTAAAAATTCACCTGGATTGGCTGCAAGCAGTATTCATTTCTCCAAATTCGAATGGGAATTCGATCTGATCGACTAAGGGTGATCTTAATATGAATCTCGTACAAGTTATTTTCAATTCATTTTATTTATTTTATACAATCAAAGTTATTAATAATATTTAATATTTTGATTTTTTTTGTTTAATTTATTAACACCACTCAACATCCAATTGTAATTCAATTTTGATGCAAAGTTGATAAATACAGCGCCATAGGATCTAATTTGAATTAGAAGATAAAAGAATCAAATTTTGATTTACATTGATTCGATTTGATCCATTTAATTTGCAACCTTAGCTCTTAATGTGGCCATGGGTCTTCAATCATTCTGATTAACACTGTTAATGGCTTTTGTGAAAAAGAAGGGATCCATCTCCCTAGCTAGCTGCATGCATGGCCATACAGCCAGCCTGCCAGAGAAATCTTGTTCTACCCCTTCGGATTGAGACAAGTGTCTCAATGATCATGGTTTTAAATCACATGATCACTCAGTCCATTCTAAGTCAAACATTCTCTTGCTGACTTAGTTAAAGGCTGAAATGGATCCAACTTAGACCCAATAACCACCCTGTGAACAAGTCAAAAATAGTTTATAGAAAACAAATTTATTTTTACTAGAAAATAAATAATAACATATAACGAAAACTATAATTAGTGTGTATTGTAGTGTATTCACAGGGATGATATCATTAAGCTACTCCATCAACATGTGGCTTTTCACATGGCCAGTGGATTCTCCTACACGTTGAGTATTCCAAATCGAGGGCCTATGGCCACCCGTTCCAACAATCTGCGCAATAATACATCATCGAGGATCATGATTCATGGTTTATAATTTATTAGCAGATCTTTTCTACATACAGTGAAAAAAAAAAGAGAAAAATTAATTAAGCTGCCTTTGGCAACCAAACACAAAAGACAAGTGAGTGAGTGGCGTTTGGTAAATGAAACGGAGAAAACAACAAAAACTTTATTGACCCACATGCATAAAATTGCACCGTGATTCATGAGTCAAGTCTTTTGATGCTAGCAATAATTGCAACAAGAACAGTTGTAGCGCAATAATACACCCGGTGAACCATGCATTCTTAATGGAGAGAACTGAATCAAGGCGATCAAGATTTACAGTCTCAAGAACAAGGGTGTCACAGTAAGCAGGAGCCGATAGAGTCGATCAAGTACGGTGATGTGTTTGTTGTCTCTGGTGAACTTGTGGAGAAGTCCTTGACACTTAAGATGCAAACTGTATAGTATGGATAAGCGTGCTGATAAAATAAATTAAAAAAATAATAATAATAATTTAGGTATCTGATAAAATAAATGAGAATCTTTTTTGAAGTCAATTGATGCAACGCTAATGGAGGGGGGCCTTTGTCTAATGGCCGAAGTGCAGGGAGTGTTTATTGCAAAAAAAAAAAAAAGTGCAGGGGGTCTTTATTAAATTTGTTAACGCCTTAACGGGGTTGATGCTGAAAATAAAACTACGAAGTTTCTCATTTGAGATCATATGGGTTGACAACAACAAATATCAAATTTGTTAAAATAACCATTCTAAGGCACAATTCATTTTCAAGGTGTTCTCAAGATGAACTCTGTTGAAATAAAATTGAGAGAAATTACATATGTGTATGAATTAGGATTTTAGAAAAACTAAATTAAAAAAAAAAAGGAAAAATGATCTCCTTAAATAGCATAAGGGTAATTTGAGGTGTTAGAAAGGTTTAATAAAATATTCCATGAAATTAATTAGCAAAATGCTAACAACAGGGGCAAAGTGCTGGAATATAGAAATTTAGGAGGTCCGTCTTGCAAAACAAAATTCGTGTGGTAAGTGTTACTAATTACTATGCCCTAAGGAAATATTGTTATTGCTAATAATAGTGTGAGCTTGGGCCAGCTCCCAGTTGGGCTGGGCCTTAGATTGCATCTTTTTCCGTAGGAGAGGGGCCCATGCATAGTAAAAGAGATGGCGCTTAATTTCTTTATATAGCAGTAATTAATTAAGCCTGCATGCATGCATGCAGTAACAACTAACAAATACAGACACACAAACACAGTATCTAGCTAGCTACAGCCCAGAAGTAGAGTTGTCTTAATACAGATAGTGGAAATTAAGTTGAAGAGGTAAAGCACCAAATAAGTAGACAGAAATTAAGCTAGATAATATAATTAAGCAAGAGATACGTAGTAGATGAGAATGAGATCGGTGGTCTGATCAGACAAATTCCCTTCGCCCTAGATGCATGGATGCATGTTAATTAAGTTGGGAGCATCGACTTTATCGCTAGCTAGCTGGTGTGAGGATATTATCTCTGCGTTGGTGTATCCTTGGGAACCATGTCGATCTGCTGATGAGACTCTTTGCTGCCAATTTCTCTAGTTGGCAAATTCTTGGGTTTGGTAGTACTTTTGGGATTAGCGTCGGTCTGAGGAGTGGAGCCTCTATTTTTCGACGGTTTCTGTGCCTTGTTGAGAAGAAGATCAGCCTGAAGATAGTAAATTATGGATTTGGGCTGCTCTGGAACACTCATGTTGCTCCGAGAAGGAGAGCTTGCAAGAGTTGTCGACGATTTCTGAAGCGCAGCTGCCTTGAAATAAATAACATTGATCTCAGAAGGAGGGCTTCCGCTTCCGCTTCCGCTTCTGCTTCTGGGTTTCCAGATGTCAATTCCTCTGTGAAATCAACGAAAACAATTTAGTGAGATTGAAATATATGGCACACATTAACTAGAAAAATCACTTAAAATAAATAAAAGAAGAGAACAGTTTTAGGAAACCTACCCAAATGAATTACTTACGTAGCTGTCCGCTTCATCAAGTGGAGCAGCGTTTGAGAGGAGTTCTTGGTGATCACCAATTGAGCCATTATTGATGAAAGTAGAGAGAGAGAAGTGATGAGTGCACAATATATAACTGTGCTAAGGCTTGCTGTATATTTGTCAGTTATTGGGACTTGAGAAGGGCATATACATGCATGTTTATAAATAAGATGGATTCCTTCACAAATCACAAATCAACTGGTGAATGAATTTTAATTTCGTTGTTTAGTGGGAGATCCGGTCACGGTCAGAGGTGGTGCGCGGTCACCAGTTGGGCCATTGATGAAAGGGAGAGAGCAGCGGTCATGTGTGCACAACTACAACTGCTGTACTATGTAGTATATATCTTGCGGTGTTTGTCAGTGGAGCACACCACACCATGCTGCATGCAACACGATTCGATTATATAATATATATATATATATATATATATATATATCAGAATGTTGTTTTTTTATTAAATTTAAGGATTAAAATATAGATATGATATGGATATATTTATATATTGACACACTTCTAAACATCCGGATATACACAAAAAAACGAGAGTTTTAAAAGAATCTTTATAAAATAGAAAAAGTATCGGTCATATGGATACGCATCATCAATTTTTTAATCTTTCACTAAATTATTATAATCCTAGATTCCAATTTGATTAAAAAAAAAAAGTCAATTCATTTTATTCATGAAATATGATATTTTGTTTGGCCGGCCATAGACATTGTTTCACACTAATGGATCCATGTTAATTTGCACGTATAGTCACTAATGGGAGGAGTTCATCAACAATATCAGGCCTGAAAGTCAGATCAGAAAGAAAGTAGAATGTTCATACCACTTGTGAAATAAAAATCCCAGTATTTATGTTCAAGTATAATTATTCCAATAAGTATAGTCATTAACGAGAACTAAAATTTCATTGACCAATTTTTTCTCCTCTCAAAATCCAAAAAAAGAACGCCTCCTTAAAAGATTCTGCTAACACCTCCCCACAAGACAATACAGCCATACAGCAGGAACATGTCCCCACTTGTCATCATTCATGGAGAGATCAATGTTTATCATGTGCAGTTGTAATGCCATGTCGGTAGGGAGTCTTGATAATCGGATCAAATATGAATCCACTGTAATTTAATTAGATAGAATAAAGATGGTTTGAATGTTGAGTTTTTTTACTAATTAAAGTGTGATAGATTCAAGTTTCATATAATACAAAGTCATTATTAATTCAGTTTATTAGTAATAGTGAATGTGCTTTGGATTCTCCACATGGGCCTTCAATCATTCGATTAAGACTGATAAATGGGTATTTTGGAATCACCTTCAACCGCCACAAAAGAAGAACCTCCCTTGCTGCATGCCTACTGTTTGGTAAGTTAAACAGACAGCACAACAAATACTGCTTCATTAACCACACCTATCCTCCCTCTGAGATCGGCTTTAGTCAGTGCAAGGTTCGTTCGAACAGCCTTTTCGGCCTTACGCTTACGCTGGGAATATCTCCGTACCTACCTATGCATCTTATTTCATAACAAGGAGATATTCCAATGCAAGGCCTTAAAGGCTGTTCGAACGGGCCTTGCACTGACTGAAGCCGAGTTCCCTCCTGAATTGCCTTTCTGGCTCATGCGTTACTGGTTTAATCAATGAAAGCAATGTTAAGCTTGTAAGTAAAGTCCTATTACTATTATTACTACTATTATTATTATCGATAACCCAGAATTGAAATCGTTTTGGTCATCGGTTTTCAGATTAGCAGTTCGATCATTTGGTCTAAACAGATGGATCGTCACAATTTAAAAATAAAAAACAATTGAAACAAAAGAAAAATCAAAAACTGTTTTGTCGGGCTGGTTCAACCGTCTACATAAATGGATCAGTGACCAAGTCAATATTTTTTATCATAAGACTGGATTTGGGGTAAAATGGAATCGGACACCTGAATGATTTTTGAACCAAATAAATCAAAATTTTAAAAACCAAACTAAAAAAAAAATAAAAAACTATAACTGAAATAACTGAAACCAAAATTTTGGTTCAATTTCCAGTTAAAATTGAATTTTAATAATATATACTCTATTATATATATATATATATATATATATATATATATATTATAACATATAATTATATTACATATTATATATAATAATAGAAAGTTCATTTATTTAAGTTAACTGAATTTCTAATTCTAAAAATAAAAAACCTGAAACTGAAATTTTTAATTTGATGTTTCGATTTTAAACAAGTAGGTACCGAACTGTCCGACCGTCCTAATCAACAACGGTTTGAAATAAGTTTTCGAAACGTCGTCGGGCGCTCACTTGGGTCATAAAGTCAGAACACATGCTAATACAAAGGGTGGGAGTGTTGTTGGTTACACACTAGGATTTGGATTTGCCTTAGATTACAGAGTGTGTTGAAAGTTATATCCATTCCACCTAAACCAAAATATATGCGAGTTCTAAAAACAAGCATTTTCAATTTCGGGTTAATAATAGTATTTATTGCCAGGATTTGGCGCCAGTAAAAAAGCGTGTTAACCCTTACAGCACATCTGACCGTGCACTTGGAATATCACCCACAAATGACAAGATAAAATATTACTGTGTTAAGTTAAAAAAATAATAAAAATAAATTGTATAAAACCTGGAATTTTCTGTTCTTGGAAAACTTGCAACGACTTTGCGAGAAAGGCAAAGTAGTTGCAAGTGTTTGTGACAGAGAGCTTGGGCCCTGTTGCAAGGGTTTTGGTGTTTGTTATAGAGAGCTTGGGCTCTGTTTCATCTTCTTAAGGAAGAAGATAATGAACAGTGTGTTTTATTTTTAAAGGTAATTTTAACATTTTCAAAAATCTTAAATCGCACATGAGGTCATGTCATATACATAACTAATGATCTATTAATGGCAAGTACTAGATTGTCGCATTTTAAAGTTCGGGAACCAAATTATTACTCGAGCCGAAGTACAGGGTACTGATCGAAAATTTTCCCATCTGGACTGTTTTTATTATTGCTGGGCTGGGCCTTAGGTTGCAACTATCAGCCTATAATAAGATGGGCCCAGGTTTAGTAAGGCCCTAATCCCATGTTTTTAGAACATGACTTTTTAATGAGGTTTGTTTTTAGAACGAACATTTGGGATATCGTCACTGTCATTTCTTTGTTTTTTAGTCCAATAAGAATGTGCAAAAATATATATGAGCCACCGCATCATTCGTATTCATTAGAATTTAGGACATTTATCCAATGAGTGTGTTCCCTATTTGGCTTGAATTCAACTATAAGACCAATTAGATTCAACATGTAATTATCATCAGTTCTAACAATATATCTGATAATTAAATTTTCAAAGGGTATAATGTTCTGACTATTTGAAGAATTTGGTCTTTTTTTTTTTTCTAAATAAAAATTATGTCCCATCTACTGGTTGAGATGACTGATGAAGTTAATTAACTTACAGTGCAGCTGTTGCTACATTATAACAAATATTTAAATTTATTAATGTAGAATGTAAACAGCCATATATTATTGCATAAACATAAACACTACAAACACAGATGAATCAAAATATATAGCTAAAGATACTTCTTAATATATAGCCAACTGAACATACATAGCTTCGATTTTGATTAGAAGACCCAACAAAGAAGAAGAAACTAGAAGGCATATATACTAAGTTTATAGAACACCATACAGATATCTATATATCTAGAGTTGTAGACACCAATCTGAATCACCCTTCTCAATAAAAATATATAAGCTGCATGCATTAATTTCTACAGTACTGGTTTATTAATTAATTAATAGATCAATAATGGATGAGTTTCCCTTATCACACCACTAGTTATCAATTTGAAGCACTTTCTTTAACACACCTAACAGCAAAGGAAAAGCTGTTAGATGAGGGAAATGACCTTGTGTTTCCAAAATCTCAACCTTGGTGTAACCTCCAACAATCATCGTTTCCAGGTAAAATGCAACAGATTTTGGAACCACAAAGTCTCTTTCAGCTTGGATGATGATGCAAGGCACCCTAACTTGTTTCAGCACCTCCCTGTAGTCACTGAGGAATACAGTTTTGGCAACGTCAAGAGCAATATCTGGTTTCATTCTTCTCAAACTGCGTTCGAACTCTTTTATAGCAGCCATGTCATTCACCCCAATAGCCTTTGGAGCAAAATTTGAAACCCAGCCTGAGAAATTCTGTCTTATGGCTTGGAAAACTGTCTCAACATCCGATCTTTCAAAGCCCCCATAGTATCCTTCTGCGTTGAGGTACCTGCAGAGAAAAACACGTTACAGTCGATCCATATATTCAAGCTATCAATTAATGCAAAATCTAGAGAGAGCGAGAGAGAGAGCGAGAGAGAGAGAGACCTTGGAGAGGCACCAAGCAAGATTAGCTGTTTGAAGAGGTCTGGTCTCTGGGTTGCGGCTATGCATCCAATCATGGCAGACATGGAGTGACCCAAGTAGATAGACTTGGTCACCTTGAGCTCATCAAGAAGGGACTGAAGATCTTGTGCATACGAGACGTAGCTTGAATACTTTGAGGGATTGTAGAGAGCAGGACTGACGTTTCCTGCGAAAACCAGATCAAAGACGACTACTTTGAAGTAGAAAGCGAGGCAAGGGAGGATATAGTGCCATACAGTCTGGTCTGAACCAAACCCATGAGAGAGAACTAGGGTTTCAGTACCATTGCCATACACTCTGGCGTTCAGAGCTTGCACAAGCCTTCCATGTCCATTTACTAGATCCATATATATTTCACCGATATATTAATATATAGCAAATGGGATTGTATTAATTAAAGACTACTAGTGTATAAATGCATGTCCTACTGCAGTGCAAGGAGTAGTGCTGCAAGTCAAGCCCTTTATATAGAGTATAGCCTAGCCTCTTCACATCAAGTGGACCTCTCTCTCTCTCTGGTAATAGTAATCAGGCTAGCTATAATTTCCTTTTAAAACTTAATTTGCACTGTTGGATCAATATATCTTATAAGGAAATGGTGAGCTATATATTAAACAATAAAATAATTGAAAATCTATTTCTACTGCCTAAACATATCTTCACAATAACCTTTCGGTCTTTGAGGTGCACCACCTCATTCTAAAATGTTGAAACCATGCATCAAAATTCAAAAACATGGACTTAGAGAAAATGGGTTGGCAGGTTGTTTTGTTTGGTTAACAAAATAGATGATGTATGGCCAAAGCACAATATGGAAAAGCCCAAGTATAATTCAGTTTTAAAAAATAAAATAAAATTTTGGTCAAACGTATATGGAATTGTAAAAGCATCAATAACAAATGAATCTGTTCAACAAACTATCTTTTAAAACATATGGAATTAATGAAAATTTTAGCACAATTTTCATGTATTAAGTTCTATTGAATATAATATATGCACGAGTATTAAAATAATGCATTCATTCCCATATTTATTCATTTGTATTATGCATTTTTTATGAAAAGTTATTATCATCATATTTTTCCATATATATATATATATATATGAATTACTCAACATCTAATTAATACATTTTTAATAAAATATAGGCATATATAGCAACTATGGCTGCTGGCCAGAATTAATTCATATATTTTTATAGATTTTTCCGTTCATCCTTTATTTATTTTTTGGGTTGCAGGTTTGCTCCTCAAACCACCTCCACCTTTCTATACCAGATTGTTAACAGCTGGTCCGGCTATTCCATCAATATAGTTGTTCTGATAATCCAGGTTTTGGGCACATTAACTTCCTTACTTTTGGGCATCAAAAGCCACACTAATGCAGCCCAACCAATTTGCCGTCCCAGAGTTTAATGTGGTAAGCTTTATGAATTTAATGGTTATCAATTCTGAAAGTTCAAAATGCATGTAACATTTTGTCCTCTTTGCATATTAATTTAAACCTTCAGCTACAAAAAAATAAAAAGTTCAGCTACTATAATAAACTTATAGCAGCTAGAAGACAAGAAGATGAACATTTGGTGATCCCTTGGGTGCTTCTGTTATTAAGAAAAGTTGATTGTATATAACATAAAAAGAATGAAATTTAATGAAAAAGAAGAAACAAGTACATGTTTTAAACGGAAAAACAGGAAAATTTGGGCGAAAAAATACTGGAGTTGAAAGCAGTTCAAGCACCGACTCTCGGCTTTTCACCCAACTACTCTCCGATTTGATGTTTCAAAGTTTTTAAGTTCCAACTACTCGGATGCCAAGCATTTACGAATTTAATATTCGTCGATTATGAGGTAGGCTTTTTGTGGCTTTCAATGCATGTAACAGTCCTTTTTTTATAGAAATGCATGTAACAGTCTTGAAAGAAAAAAGGGGGAAAAAAGTGAACTAGCTTTTTCGTTCTATTTATTGCATGTTTTAAGTTCTAACTGCTCCATACCTAACCTCTGGTAATGTATCATCTTCCATGATCTGGATGGTGTTATGTTATCATCAAATCAATATTTGGTACATCATAGTTAAGTGTTTATTTACTGTTTCGCTGAGACGGCGCCTAATAACACGTAGTGGCATCTAGTTGTCAATAAATTATGGCAAAACATTATCAGATATTGTAGCTTGGTTTTGAAAACAAATCAAGTATAATGTTTATTTAATTAATAAACGAAAACCATGTCAAATAGAACCACGAGCGTTTATTGAGTATATGTTTGGCATTGATACTGCAGATACAACACAGCTGCTGATATGTGAGTTGGAAGCATCATTTCCTAAGAAAATGATGTTTTTTTTTTCTGTTTGAAAACATTGCTGCCAAATAGGACGTTTCTTGGAGCAACAATAACACTTTCTATTTGGTACCAGTGCTCCATATATGTCTTCAGCATTGGTACTCATTATAGAAAGTCCACTTCACTGTCACATCATGTCTTCATTAGTACCAGTGCTCCAAATATATTGACGTTTCCCAAAACACTGTTTTTTCCAATGTGGCGTTGATGTGTCATCATTTTCTGGAGCAACAGTATCGATGCCAAACAGACGCTAAATAAACATTGCCACATAAGCACCACTTTAGCATTCCCCTCATTATGCGGATCTGTACCCATAGAGATTTGCAAAACTAAGCATTGATTTATGTACACGCCTATCGTTGGGGGAAGTGCTGATTTATTCACTGTTTTGCTGATGTAGTATCTAGTGGCGCCTAAATATCAATGAACAAATTCATTATTACTTTTCTCAATTTTACAAATAAATCAAATATAAACATTTAGTGAATAAACACCCACGATTGCAAACACATACTTAATCAATCTCTTGAGCGTCTCAGAAGATTTGGTGAATGAGAGGATGAAAGTTCGGTTATACTATAGTGAGAACAAAATTGTGATACAGTATTTTTTATCAAACCAGTAACATATAGAGGTTTAATTTGCTTTATGGGAAGTTGGAATCAACTTTATATATGATTGTATATACATACTTGTAATATTACAAATATACTAGGATGATGTGTACCATCGTCCATGCATGAAATGTAGAGAATTGGTGGAATGAGGCAGTTCCGCAGAAAAAAACAAAGGTCTCGGTGTCCTCCAATAAATTGTCATGCATGGATAAGAACCAAAAAAAAAATCTAGGAAGGCAATTTTTAGAGATGTACATATTACACAAGAATACAAGAGAATAATTAAGTTGTACAAATCAGAACCCACATAAATTTTATAAATATATCATAACAACAAATTTACAGCTCAGTTGGCCATGGTACTTATAAGGTATAGACCATCAAGAAAAACAAATATACTAGAACATTAATTTTGTGAAGTAATACATTGCAATCAATATATTAGACCCAAATCAACTTGGATTTTTTTTTTCTTATGGTGAAAGACTTCAATAATGAAAAATTGCATTTTTATGCAAAATGCATATCAACCCACTATTATGCATAATGTATTCAAAATAAAATATAATATACATTAAACATTAAACGTTGCAAATTAGTATGTATAAATATTAAATAATACATCATAGCCAAGGAAGCAAAAAACTAATACCCACATATAAAGTTAAATTGATATCTGACATGCTTACTTATAGACATAAGTAAGTAATAATAATAATAATAATAATAATAATAATAATAATAATAATAATAATAATAATTAGAAGAAGAAGAAGACTTTTCCAATGTATATTAACTGATATCAGTTTAAAAAATAAGTTTAGAGTATAATGTTAATATATTGATATATTAGCGGCCTATAAAAGTCTAAGCTAACCCAAAGATGAACAGACTTCAAAATATAGCTAGGGGATCTTTAAAGTGTGAAACGTCACTAGAAGAAAAAGCCGGTGGCCAAATGTCTACAAGCTTTGGTTAATTGGTTTAGCCACCTCTATGTTAACCATGCCAACGGTCATGTCAGAACTCAGAAGTGTTGCTAAAGATGTTTGGGAGAATGACGGTTCAGCCCAGGGTCAAAATTTTTAGGCCCAAAGTACAGCTGGGGTAAGTGCCAGCTCGAAATTGATGTTAATTCACGGACATGCATTAGTGTATAAAATAGAGGTATTTAATATTTTAAATGTTTATAGGTCTGCAGTGGAATTCAAAAATCTGCATTGGGCCTGTCTGTATTTTTCCGAAGATGTTTTCTATATATTCGACTATAGCGGCAGCCATACGGTAACCGCTGGCTTTAATACAAACTATACCGGCGGTCGCAGGGTAACCGCCAGCTTTTAGTACAAAGTAAGACCACCGGCTTTAGTGAAATTTATGCCGGCGGTCTTGTAAGAAGGGCCCTCGAAAAACATGTTAGTACAAATTTATATGGACTTAATTTCCATGCTATAAATACTGGACCAGAAATCAATTTTTAGACATCTGATTAGCACAAGAAACCGGTCTGGTCGCATCCCATTTTTAAAGCAGAGCACATCATTTCAAAGATGCTAGCTATACATCACTAAATATGTCGTGTAGCTTATATCTATGAGAACACAATTTTCTGACAATTGATTACGTGGCGTGCGTAGTCTATGTGCATCATAATGGGGTCTGTCCAAATCAAACGCAAACAAAATTGAGCCAGCCAAGAAGAAATTAACTAAAAAGCCAAAACTTGGAACAAGTGCAATCCAGCCGTCCGTTTTTCCCTCGACGGTTAAAGATTAATTTCATAATTTGAATACTTTATGGCTGTTGCTTATAGTTCAGCAGTCAGAAACTTTACAAGACATGTGTACTTCAGCGCAAAGCGCAAGCTGAGATTCGCATTGATTTTCCATCATACCGTAGGTACAAAATTTCACCTAATACAATATATAATTTAGATATTTGGTTACATACAAAGTGATGGTAATTTGCCATCATCAGTGAAAAACTTTCCCTGTGCAGCAGCTGCATGAAAATTGCAATGCTTTTGGCCTTGTAAGCAGGAAACCTGATTCCAACAATGACCCCGTTCAAGTGGTTTGGGTCCTAATATTTTTGGAAGCTCTAATCTGTTTATAACACCTGTATACATACATTGAGCCTGGCGGGTGGACTTCCTTGCTCATGCAAAATAGATCCTGAAGCTGGAAGTTTACACCATACTGATGGCTTTGACTTAAGCAAGCATGACCGGATTCAGAAAAGGGCTTAGTTGAGGGCATAATGGACTTGTTCAAGCAATCGGACAACCTGATTAACAGGGATAGGTGAGCGAGGAGGCTTTGACCTTGATGTTCCTGCATTTGTAAAGCCAAGTGGTAATGCTAATACAGCCTCTTGTTGCATACTTGTAAGCTCCAAGAACTGAGCTAGCATGTCCCCATCAAGTATCTTAGGTGTGCCAGCCTGCCAAGTTATAATTGGTTAGCCTCTTCTTAATACGGAAAATAAATCAATACTAGCAGAAATAAATTAACTAACTGCAACACAAAAAGGTCAGAACCACTAATTTAACTCACAAAATTGCACATCAATTTACATGTTTCAAACAATGGAAAATATAAGTTACAATATGAAACTAGGAACGGGACACCCATAATTGCCGTGGGAAAATACAAGTCAAAAAAAGATAATCAACCATAGTGAATTTGCCACTGCTGCCACTATGTGTAAAAAAGCCCATAATGCAGGTTCCTTTTCCAGCACCATTGGTGCAGAAGACCCACTTCAAAAACTAATTCTGAGGAATTAAAATGACCTATTGCAAGAGAACAATTAAGAGATATTTCACATTCACAAATAAAACGGTTCAGCATTGTCCAAAGAGTGACATAATGAACCCCAATTCCTGGAGCCTGTACTGGCATTGCACAGACACCGGAACACCATACTTCTAGAGAACAAAATAATACTTGAGTAATGAAGTTCAGAGTAGGAGGTAAGCCCTAGAGAAATATTTGTTTGCAGTCAGCTCCAATTGCTGATGTGTAGCAGAAAGTATCTGCAATGTCAGTTAAGTATTGACATGTAGGGAAGCTCGTGAACAGAGCTTACACCAGGTATTCAGTAAATGAAACCCTAATCAGAAACACTTATAGAGGTATGACCAGATTTCACTTCAATGTCAAATTGTTCCCATACCGATGATTCACGCCCGCGGAACTCATTATGGTCATTGCCAAGGATAGGAGCAGTTAGTGGGTGAACCACAAGTCTAGCTTGCACAGCTTCCAGGAGATCATGTTCTTCCCTACAAATTCATAAAACTCATCAAACATCTGCTACAACCCAAACTAAAGTAGCGTAAGTCACACATAAAGATAACATGCTTGCCTGAATTGCAATAATAAAGCATCAACAGATGTTTTACACACATCAAACGAGGCAAACCAATGTGAAACAGAATTCCTTTTGTTCTGCTATTTAACCAAACAAATTGTGACAACACATTTCAAAACAGTACATCAACATAAACAGCGTTCCATTATTAAACAAATGATTCAAGAGCCTCAGACAATAAGCTCTTGGATGTATAATTTGGTCATTTAAGAGGTAAAGAAGGAAGCATTATTTTGTTTAAGCAGCATGTTCATGTGCCTAGACTCTTCCAAGAGCCGACTTCAAATAGACTTAACCTTTGCTTAATGATGACCATAGTTGTCAAGGTGACGCCTAGGCAGGCACCCAGGCAATGCATATGCAATAAGGCACTAATGGAGGGTTGTCTCGCTTAATCGTGAAAATATTTTTTACACGGTGCTTTTGGGTAGTTTTATATTTGTAACTAAATTATTCAGTTTAAGTTAAAATACTAGTTTTTCTTTATTATCTTTCTCATTTGTTAGGGTTCAATCAACATGTATACTGCCTTCAACCCTCAAAGACTTCAAAACTTGAATAGATAAGCATGGAAGAACTCAAAATTTTACCCAATCAACACATATAGATTATTTTCAATATCGTCATCATCATCATCTTTCACCTTCTCTTCTTTACGTAAGACAAAAATAGAGGCTCAGCCCCTCTATTTTCTGAAATTTCTTTTCTTTCTTCCATTTTCTTCATGAATGTGTTGGTTTTCTATGTTTCAAATGAAGCTTATACATTTTTTGTGAAGAGTATAGACAATTAATAGCAAAAGATGGTTTTTTCTTGCTATGGAGCCTAAGGAATTACCCCAGGAATCATGGTTTTATAAAAAAAAAAAAAGGCCACATCACCTACGCGACTGGGCAACAATTAATAATGAAAGATGAGTTTTATTCAAAAGGAGAAGAAAAAAACACCACTTAGCCTCACTACAACACCTTGAAAACCATGCCTTTAGGGTCCACTACCTTACTTTGACAATCAAAAAATACAAAGATAGCTTAACATGTGGAGCAATGAGTTCACATGGTCACAAAACTTTCTTTTGACCCTCCAATAAAACACAACATACCATCAATAAATGAAAAACCAAATCACCCGGTGAGTGTTTGCCTAAGTGATTTGGTTTTGATGTGTTCACATGGTCACAACACTTATTTGCAATCCTCTAAAAACACAACATGCTACAAGTCAAACGAAAAACCAAATTATCCAATGAGTACATCCTGTTGTGGTCTAACATATGGAGAGATGAGTTCACATAGTCATAACAGTTTCTTGTGGCCTATAAAAAAACTCAAACATGCTATAAGTCAAAGGATAGGCCAAATCACTCAGTGAGTACATGCCTGGGTGATTTGGTTTTTCATTTGATTGATAGTGGAATGTTTGTATAAGCTTTAACATTAGCTTCTTCTTCCTTCATCCTTTCTTTTCTTTTCTTTTTTTCCTAAGTCCAAAATAGAGGCTCCTTTATTTTCTGAAATTTCTTTTTCTTCCATCTTTGTAAAGAATATAGACCATTAGTAGTGAAAGATGGTTGCTTCTTGCTATGGAACATAGGGAATTACCCTAGGATCCATGGTTTCTATTAAAAAAAAAAAAAACACCGCCTAGGTGACTAGGTAACACCCCCTATCACCTAGCCTCGTCCCAGCACCTTGAAAGCTATGATGATGACAATGATTTAGTGACTTTAGTGATCAGGTCAAGAAAAATTCAGGATACATTATAATTCTTATGTAGTACAAAATCTCAATATTTGATGAACACTTTAGTCATCCCGTCATTTTCCCTTGGTACACATCAACTAGTATAAAATAAAATGAATTAAAAATGGCATTAATATTGTATACTATGAAAAAAATGAATTGAAAACTTGTATAAAACTTGAACCTATGGTATTTAGTAAAAAACAACATTCAAATCATTTTTACTAATAGTACAGCACAAGTTTTAAGAGCATATGAGCATATTCATTTAAATAGGACCATATCAGATTAGATAGGGATGTATCTGTATTTGATCCAATTATAAGTGAATAGGATTCAGATCATCCTTAATTAGATTGATTTCAAATTCAAATCAGACATAAGGATACCATTTGCATCCCTCTTTATCCCTTCCCAAGAGAAAGAAGAAAATGAGAAATAGATAATCCTCATAAAAATTACATATACAAGAAATAATTTGCTTGCCAAATGCTATAGATATGAAAATGTTCTAAAAAATGTTTAATTTCCATACCTTGAGATAGGAATGAAGATCATTACACTTCCTAAGAGTGTACTAGCCACAATAGTGTTGTGTGGTGAGTCAAGTATTGACCCAGCACCATCACAACCCTTCATTACATCGTCTGCTGGAACTTTATAAGAAAACGACCCCTACAAAAACATTAAAAAGATAAAATAAAGAAAAGCAACACAAACTTATTTGAGGCATTACAGAAAGATTTGCAATAAGCAAGAAAGAAAAAGGCGTCCAAAAAATTTGTACAATTGCAAGAAATGCAAATCTACAAAACTTGCCACTACAAATTTGATTTGCACAATAAAGTTTGTTTGAATGGAAGAACATGGATAAGCAACATATAGAATATCACATACTAGTGTAACCATTGTCAACAAACATGAAAACCTAAATTAGGAATGGAATAAATCTAACAATAATTCAATTTTTCCTTTAAACCAACAATTGAATTAATAATGTATCTGCAAATGGGAGGGAGGACTCCATGTACAAGGCAGTAGCTATACAAAAGGACCACATATTCATCTCTCAAGGCAATATGTGATAAAAGACACCCGTTATCAGCCAAGCTTATTCCTTTTTCTTTCCATGCAAATCCCTGAAATCTGTCACTCCAAATTTGATTTGCAATAATGAAATTTGTTTGAATGGAAGAACATGGATAAGAAGCATTATATAAAATATCATTTAGTAGAATAACCATTTTTAACAAGAATGGAAACATATTAGGCATGCAATAAACTTAACAATAGCTCAACTTTTTCTTTACACCAACCATTGAATTAATAATGTGTAAAATGGGAGGACGCCATGCAAAAGACAATAGATATACAAGAGGGACACATACTCTTCTCTCAAGGCAGTATGTGATAAAAGACACCAACTACCAGCCTAGCCTATTCCTTTTTCATTTTGAATATCTTAACCGAAAGTATAAGTTAATTTAACAACATGAGGGTATGTTAGGTGGATGTGTGACAATTGTGCAGACATAAACAGCCTAACACATGCCCAGAAAAACTGAATAGGCATGCATAAAATCCTTCCAAAAACCGGTCTTACTAACCTATTTGTAGTTGAGCTCAACTCTTGAGGGATCAATCTAATTTCTACTCTGTATTACAAAAATTTCTAATTTCATCAAGTTAATGTGCATGTTTCTGCATTCCCCTTCCAAACTTCTTGATCCATGTAATTGCATTAAATGTTGCAAACTAAACCAATCTTTGTGTAAATGAATTAAAATTCAAACCATATGGACAAGTTGGGAAGATTACATGGGAATTCTTTTAGGACCCTGGGGACTCAAACAGAAACCATCTGGTTAATTGGTAGGGGCAGGGTTTTTTTTTTTTTTTTTGATCAATAACATCAATTTCATTAAATT